TCAATCTGTACCAGTGAGGCGAATGCATCAGCAGCCTGACCGCACCTTCAGAATTCCAGATACCCCAAAATTGCTGCTGTGCCTTTGGCCAGACCCCAAAAACTTGGGACCAAGTTTACCAAGAAAGTAAACGGCCAAAAGTTAGGCATGTGGGAGACACTCCCACAAACCAACTCCGGCTCAGCTGCATAATTGCAGGCAAGGCCTCTCTGGTTCCTGATTGAACTGCTTAACGGCCATGATCCCAGAGACTCCGAGACAAATCTCAGAACCCAGCAGCTTTTGCAGAGATGCATCCGGTCCCCTTGACCGTCGCTGGAGGTCAGAACTCCAGATTCTTTCTCTCGCTTGAGTGTAGCGTGATACTCCAAGCAGAGCTCTTTCGATTCCTCTTTGGGAGACCCAAATAGTGCTCTCATCCTGTTTTCATAGAGCCCAGGTCTCTGAAGTGTATGTTAATGCAGGAAGAACAGTGGAATTGAAGAGATGTGTCCAGAGCCAGAGGTTCTTCATCCTCTTAGCTATTTCTTCGATGCTCTTGAAGGTGTTCCAAGTCGCTTTCTTCATCCTGCGCAACTCAGGTGCTAGGTCATTTATCATGTTGACTTCTCGACCTAGGTACACATAACTGTTGCATTCGGAGATGTACATTCCGTTGAGAATGAATGGAACGTCAGGAATGAGACCATTTCTCATAAACATTGTCTTCATGAGATTCAGCTGTAGTCCGATCTTTTCTCACTCACCGTCGAAGTCGGCCAGCATTTGTGCCACTTGGCTAATGTTTGGTGTTATGAGAGCGATATCATCAGCAAAGCGGAAGTGGTGTAGTTGCCGACTGTCTATCTTCACTCCCATTCCTTCCCATTCCAGTCATCGCATGACATTCTCGAGGGTGGCACTGAAGAGTTTCGGTAAAATGGTATCACCCTGCCAAACCCCTGTCTAGACATGGATGATCACTTCCTTGTAGAATGCTGAGATCCTGGTAGTGACTCCGTAATACAGCTCACGGAGGATCCTGATGTATTGAGTATGAATGCCCTGTTTGGCTAACGCTTCAATGACTGCCTCAGTCTCAACAAAATCGAAGACCTTCTTTAAATCAATGAATGTTAGACAGAGAGGCACCTTGAACTTCCGCGAAGACTCAATGAACTTGGTTACTGTGTGGATATGGTCGATCGTGCTGAATCCTTTTCGGATCCCAGCTTGCTCGCATGGTTGTCCTTCATCTAGTGTTCCGCCAATCCTATTCAGGATGACTTGAGTGAATAGCTTGTAGACAACAGACAACAGGCAGATTAGGCAATAGTTGCCAATGTCGTGGATATCTCCCTTCTTGTACAGTAGAAAGGTCCTGCTGGTTTCCACTGGATGGAACCTTGCATTCAGACAGGTATAGTGTGAAGAGCTGAGCCACTGTATTGATGAGTACTGAAGGCAGGTTCTTCAGGTGTTCAGGTCTGACTTTGTTTGGGCCTGGTGCTGTTCACTTCTTTACCGATGAAATGGCATGTCAGATTTCAGAAGGGAGAACATTGGGAACGATATATCCTTCCTGTGGAATTTGGTATGTGGGCAGGTGGACATGACTATCAAAGACATCCGAGTAGAAGTCATGAATAATCTTCTCCATTGCCATTCTGGAAGATGTGATAGATCCATCAGGACGTCGGAGGGCAGTCATCTTGGTCTTGTAGTTGGCGAAGGACAGGTGGGCATTGCAAATGCTTTTCCTGGCTTCTGCTGCATCTGCCAGTGCTGCAGCTCTTCTCTCTTTGAGATCTTCCTTTATTGCTTCTCTGCACTGCTTTGCAAGCTCAGATGAGCTCAAGAGTTTTCAGGCGTCTTTTTCTGGTCATCTCTCTCTCAGCGTTCCTCGCACAATCATGGAGGTGCTGAACCAGTCTATTGTATTCTTCATTAATGTTGTCATTGACAGCATCTTCCCACGTTGCCGCAATAGTGCCAAAGAGCTCCCAGTTGGTGGTCGTTCTGGGAGTTCTCTTCTTAAACTTTGCAGCCCTTTCTCCCCACTCTGTGAAGTAGAATTTTGCACGAAGGAGACGGTGGTTCGATCCCATTTGGAATTTTGGGACAATAGCAACACTGGTAAGGCGAAACCGTCGATTGAATATGATGTGGTCTATTTTGTTGTGGAATCGTCCGCCAGGAGACTCCCATGTCCATCGTTTAGATTCTGCCTTCTGGAACTGTGAGTTACCATGAATGGTCTTGGTCGACATGATGAACTCAGACAGTCTCTCACCCTGTTCGTTCCATTCTAGGCCATGGGTCCTGATGTGAAGTTCTTCAGCTGATCTTCTCGGTCCTATCTTGGCATTAAAATCACCCACAATGATCTTGTAGAAGGTGTGGTCTTCTTTATAGAACTTCTCCAGCTCCATGTAGAACTTCTCAATTTCTTCTTCATCATAATTGGATATAGACAATGAAGATAGAAACTGCTGGCAGTGAGCCACAGCTATTCAAGTGTAATTGTCCAATTTGGGTTGTTAGGCATTTGAATGAATCAATGCTCATGACCAAGTTTGTGTTGACAAGGACACCGACACCACCGATGCCTCTTTTGTCGTATGTTCTGAGGAACAGTTTTTTTCCAGTGTCGAAAAAGGCATGATATGGTTGATGCCTTCTCGTCTCGGTCAAACCAATGATGTCGTACTTGATCTTTCGCGCTTGCACCATCAGGACCTCGATGGATGCATCCGATTCCAGCATATGTGCATTGAAAGTACAGACAGTCGTTTTAGTCTTTCTTCATTTTGGCAGCCTAGTTCGGCCTTGAGATTTTATCAGCCTCTCCTTCCTCATCCTTCTTAATGCTGCCGTACTGGTGGCTCTTTCTGGGTCAGGGGAATGAGACCCATTGTATTTACTGTTTTTGGCATATCGAATTCACCACGGATAGCTTGCCAGGCTCTACCGTGTGGGCGGGATACTCTCGGTAGCTTGCCAGGCTCTTCGAGAGGAATAGAAGCTGTTTTAAGGCAGCCTCTAATTGCCCTTGCAGGTGTTCCAGTGGTTTAAACCATATTTGAACCCTCAAATATGGTGTGGTGATCTTGGAAAATGGATATTAAGTGTCTTATGATATGTCCGGAAAGCGGCCTGGAGCGTGGTGGTGGCTGCGTAGTGGAGGTAGTAGAGGTCTGCTGATGAGGTATTTGTCTGGTAATGGTAGAGTGGGGCTTCTGGGTGTGATCTCTGAGTCGCTAGAGATTGGTGGGAGCAGGCAGAGGATCTCTGTTTCCGGGTCCCATTGATCCTGGAGTCCAAGGTCACAAAGTTCCACTTACCTGGTTCTGTGGGGCTTTACTCATGCGTGAGTCTTGGCCTGAGCATCTGAAAAGCAGCCTGGAGTGTGGCGGCGGCTGGGTAGTGGAGGTAGTGGAACAAAAAATAAATAAGATTGTTTTAAAATAATAAAAGAATCACGGACTCCATGCCAGGCTGTGGGGGCAGGTGAGAGCCCTCCCCACCCCAAGGGACCCAGCCCCGGCAGCTGACCCCCACTACCCAACCACCGCCACACTCTCCAGACCTTTGCAGCTGCGCGACACATTATAAGACTCTTCCTACCCATTTATGCCTCTCAGAGAGCCCGGCAAGCTTCAGAGAGCATCCCGCCCACAAGGGCAGAGCCTGGCAAGTTCCTATTAGATATGCCAAATTGATATGGCGTATTTGATATGCCAAATACAGTAACGACAATAGGTCTCATTCCCCTGAACAATTTTGTAAATCATGGTGTTGTCAATAAAGACAAGAAAAAGAGTATAAAGCCCAAAAGGAGGGAGGGGAGAAAGAGAGAGAGAGAAAGAGAGAGAGAGAGTCCACCATAGAGGCAGGCTGGGAGTGAAGTGGGGGGTTGATGGGAGGGAAACTGAGGACACTGGTGCTGGGAAATGTACACTGATAGAGGGATGGGTGTTAGAACACTGTATGATGGAAACCCAAACATGAACAGCTTTGTAAAGGTCTATCTCACAGTGATTCAGTAAATAAAATCTTGGAAAAACATAAAAAACAATTTTGATTGAGTGATTTTCAAAAAAGAATACATGGCAAATTGCAGGTCAATTTGAGTGTCAGGTTAAAGAGTTCTGTTTGTGCTGGTGCTAAAGCATGTGTGAGCTACACTGCTAGAGAGCTGAGAGAGAAGGGTGCCTACCTAACTATGTGTCTGTTGTTGTCTGCCTGTCCATCCATTCATCCATTCACATGTCCCACTGTGCATAAGTACTGACTGAACCACAACTGGAAGGATCCAGACAGCCACTAAGAGCTAAGTCGTGTTACTGGCTTTAAAAAAAAAATCATTGAAAGACCGTGAGATACACTTACAAAGCTTTTATAACAGAGTTTCAGTGGTATGATGATCGAACACCTATCCCTCCACCAGTGAGCATTTTTCATGACCACTGTCCCCAGTATTCCTCCTTCTACCCCCACCCAATCCTGCCCCCTGCCTCTGTAGCAGGCACCTTCCTTCTTACACACTCTCTCTTCTCTCTCTCTCTCTCTCTCTCTCTCTGCATTATGATGTATAATACAGATACTGAGAGACCATCATGTTTGGTCCTTCATCTACTTACACACATCTCCCATCCCGAGAGGTCCCTCCTCTATCCCAGCTGCCTTCTCCCCAGCTCATGAGACAGGCTTCCAACCGTGGAGCAATCCTCCTGGCCCTTGTGTCTACTGTCCTTAATATATTCCACAACGGAGTGCAGCCATTCTATGTCTGTCCCTCTCTGACTCCTCTCACTCAGCATGACACTCTCCACGTGCATCCACTTAGAAGCGAATTCCATGACTTCATTGGGGTCCAGGCCATTGGCCCGGACTCTGGCCCCCAGACCCAGGCAAGCAGGCCCCGCCCTGTGGCCTACGATTGGCCAAGGGAGCTCTGCCAGCTGGAGGGGGGCGTGTCGGTAGGCCTGGTCCCGGGACAGGCGGGGACCGGAGCCGGGTGGAGGGGGCTTTGGGGCTGCAGGCGCCACTGGCCGAACCTCCCCGCCTGACCCAGGCCCACTCCTTCCCGGGCATGCTGCGGCGGGGCAGCCTGGCGCTCCGGCGCTTCTCCACGGGCCGGGTGAGTCCCGGCCTCTTCTGGGTCGATCCAACCCGCCCCTTCCCGGGCCGGGGGCATTGGGGGAGTGCCCTTTTTGCAATTTTGCTCCATGCCAAGTATCGCGGGTTTGGCAAAGGGGGCGAGTGCATTGAGGGTCCGGGGAGGGGCTGGAAGGATGCCCTGTCAAAGGGTCTATTGTCTTCAACGTCGCCGAGGGCTCTGGCTGCGTGGCAGGGAGAGCAGTTGACTTGGGGAGGGGGTGGGGGATAGAGTGGGGCCCCTTTTCTTTCTCCTTCCACCGTGAGACCCCCTCCCAAGCTCCGTGGAGACCTCCTGGTGCAGAATAGGATCCAGACCCCAAACGGCGAGAGGTGGGAGCGCTCCGACCGGGCGTGAGTGCGTGCAGGGCCCTGGCAGATAAAGGCACTAGCGGCGGCCAGGCGGCTGCAAGCTCAGGATTCCTGAGCTGCACTGAGGTTTCTCGGGATTTCCAGGCGCCGCGAAAAGCAGTGAGCCTGGAACATTTTTCAACTGTAGCGCCAGAAGTCAGCCCCGACTCGGCCGCACGCCTGGGAGTTGCATCAGCAACTCCAGCGAAGGGAACAAGAACAGACACGTTGTAAGCGGCCGATGCCTCCTTCAGCATTTTGGGGGCCTCTGGGCCGACGCCCAGCTATTTTAGGAAGAGAGAGAGAAAAAAACCCTAATCCTTGTACTTTCTCTTCTTTATAGGAAGCTCATGGTTGGGTTATAAAATAATTCGCCTTTCCATGCATCTTCTCTGCCAAAGCCGTATGTGCCTGCGTTGATATTCGTATCTGTCTGTCTTTATGAATAAATGACTGTTAATATAGAAAAACAAAACCAGGAGGAAAGGAATCCTGAGTAGCATCAAGGACGGGCATAAAGTTTGCATAGGTGGAAACTTATCTCGATCTTGAAGAACAGACTGTTGAAGACTTATTACCCTAGGCAATGAGTTATAGTTACTTTAGGGAGCAGGCATTTTTTTAAATGTAAAAAGGACAAAAAGACCTGTCTTTGCGTGGTGTTGGCTGGGTTCTGTACGTGCTGCTATGAAGACTTGTTAGCCCTCTCCTGCCACATGGCCCTGGGACATCTGGGTGGGATGACACAAAGGGAGAGGTGTGTGCCCGCCTGCATGGTATCCTGTGTCAAAGCCTTCCAGGGAATTGTCTCTGTCGTTCTGGAGGACGTAACTTGGAGGAGAGTAGTCCCGAGTAGCACCAAGGAGGGGCATAAAGTTGCTTACGTGGAAACAGCTTGATCTTGAAGAATAGTCTAAATGTTGAAAACTTGTTACCCTAGGCAAGGAAGGAGTCTTGAAGGGAAAGATTGTGGTTGTGGAGGTGACAGATTTTTTGCAGCATTTGGGAGAAATCTAGATGGAAAATAACACATATGTGGCATCTACCAGGCAAAGCGAGGGCCAGGAACACAGCCCACACACAAGGCTAGGAATAAGGTCTAAAGGATGATGTCATGTGCTAAGTGAAGGATTGGGGCTCCTTTCCCCTGCTAGGAAGTGGAAAACTCCTTTTCTGGGTGGCATTCTTTAAGAATTTCTTAAAATGAAGTATCGTTGGGCACCTTTTTATAAAGTTTGGCATTTTCCTATCCTATGATCCATTGCTCGAATCCTGCAGAAAGTCAGGGAAGAAGTGTTCTGTGTCTTGGTAGTGCTGGGCAGCATGACAGCTGGATACCACAACTCACAGAATTACACTGGAAATTTCCATGTATATACATTGTCATCCCTGACTTAAAAAAATTTTGCTTTCAAACTACTCAGTACTACTGAGTTGATACTAAAACAGTATGAAGAAAGAAACAAAAGATCTCAGAACCTAGCAAAATCCAAGGAGAAAATTAGTTCATAAACTCGGAGAGCCCGGCAAGCTACCGAGAGTATCTTGCCCACATGGCAAAGCCTGGCAAGCTACCCTTATCTTATTCGATATGCCAAACACAGTAACAAGTCTCACAGTGGAAATATTACTGGGCCAACTCAAGCAAATTGCTACCGTGCTACTTACAGATGAAATTAACTTATTAATTGTATCGTGTAATAATAATTAGGAAAGTAACCCTTATTACTTCCTGATAGAATTCTTCTTTTTTTTGCATGAAATGCTTCTTGTATTAGATAAATGGACTTGGAAGTAGTTAGTGATTTCAGCAGGTGCTGTGGTTGGATCTTGAACGAGTGCGCTATACTTAGCAATGCCTACCTCCAGTGCATTGCCTACCACACTGCTTCTCAATTTCTTCCCACTGTGGAGGTTTTATATCTCTCACATTTATTTGATGTTCCGCTTTTTAGCTTCCTCTGCCAATGTTTGGGACAAGTCTGGCTAGGGTCTTTGGGCTTATTACCTGTTTCAGCGCCTTTGCATTATCTATGTCCAATTCAAGAGATTGAAACCTTCCCTACGTTAGAGGATCAAGTGCTAGCTGTCAACTTGTTTATACCAGGCCATTCCCTGCTCATTGCTGGCTCTCCTGTTTTGACATCTAAATTGTTTTAGGACCCCTGTTTTCAACTCCAGGTCATGTTTAACTGTGTATTACATAGTGAGCACTTTGCCTGTACCCTGAAGAAATACTTGTATTAATAATTGATAGCAAGGATAGATAGGTAGCACTTAGTCCAGGCAATCTATCAGAGATGGCCTTCATATACACCCATTTAATCTTAATGATATCTCAGTAAGGTAGTTACTATTATTCAGCCCATTTTATGAATTAGGTAACAACCCTCAGTTTTACAGATGTGAAAACTCTGATTCATTGTATGCCCCTTCTTCTTTCCTCCAACAAGACAGCCCTCTGAAGTGTAGGGCTCATTCCTATGTGAAGGATATCAGAGTCCTCCATTAGCAAGGCAGATGGAACTGTGTCCCAAAATCCACCTATCATACTTGCTGTCTAAAATTTTTTTAATGAAAGGGGCAAGGCCTTCCACATAAAGTCACAGGAGCATCACTGGGCAGATGCTCTACGCTTACCCAGGTGAAATGGTGCTGCTCAGGCCAGCTGACAGAGGAGACACTTGTGTTAGAGTTTTCCTTTGGGGGGCTTTGGGGATCACACTCAGTCATGCTAGCAGGTTACTTCTGCCTCTGTACTCAGGGATCACTCCTGGCGGTGGTTGGTGGACCATGTGGGGTGATGGGAATGGAGCCAGGTTCGGCCACATACAAGGCAGATGCCCTACCCACTGTACTATTGCTCTGCCCCAGGTTTTACTTTTTATTCATTCAGTTAGTTGCTTAGCAGGTCAGTTGGTTGGCTAGTTGGTTGCCTAGTTAATTGTGAAAGTAACTAGTTTGCTGGCTGATGAGTTGGTCAGTAGTTTGGTTAGCTGGTTAGTCACTTGATTAGTTGGCTATCTAACTACTTAGTTGGCTACATAGTTGTCTGGTTAGATGGGTAGTTGGATAGATCATTAAGTAGTTAGCTAGTTAGTTGGTTGGCTAGTTACTTGGGTAATTGGGTAGTTAACTGGTTATCTGGTTTACATATAGTTAGCTGATTAATTGGTTATTTGGGTAGTTATGGGTAGTTATCTGTTTAGTTGATTAGTAACTGATGAGTTGTCAGTTAATCAAATATTTCATTAGTTATGATGCTGAGAATCAAACTCATGGGCTCATATGAAAGGCAGTTGTCCTACTACTGAGCTACATTCTCTGCTCCTGCATTGGGATTTTAAATGATGAGGAAATCTCTGTTCCTCGTCCTGAGATTTCCTCATCTCAGGAAACGAGGAAAGCTGTGCTTATGGCCATAGAGTGGACCACGGGCAATCCAGCACTTAGAATCTCCAAATCACCATTGTCACTGAAGAGCTATTTATCTCAACCTCTCTGTGGTTTAAAATAATGCCTATCTCCCCAGTCTTTGGCAATCAGTGCGAGATGATGTATATAATATACATCATATATTTGTATATACATACATATATACATATATAATATATATCAAACACTTGATGACATATTTGCTAAACTTCCACCCCTTCTTCCTGACCAAATCCTCTGAAGGAAGAGTCATTTTGGTGGCTGGCAGACACATTCTCTGGACAGCAAAATTCTCAGGTTTGAGAGAACCTCTGAGCCACGCTTGTTAAAATGCAGCTTCCAGGGTGAGAAGGTTAATGCAGGGTTTAAGGCCTTACACGTGCCTGTAGCAGCAGGGACCCTGGTTCGAATCCCCAGCATTGCATATAGGCCCCTGGGCACCACCACCAGGGGTCAGTCCTGAGCAAAGAGCCTGGAATAACTTATGAGCACCACTGAGTGTGTGACCCAGTTTCCCCATCCCACCCTTTCAAATAGAGTAGGAATTCAGGTAGTGTAGATTCTCTAGTCTTGCTAATGGCCTGAGGTGAAGACAAACTTTGTGTGTCAATACCAACATTCTATTCTATTTTAAGGAGCAAGAGTTTGAATTTGAAGACAGAATATTTACAGAACATTCTGCTTTTCCTGTTAGGAGAAAAGATGAAATTGGCATGTATTTTACATGGACAAACCATGTTGTGTCACCTAACTCAGCTCTTTGCTGCCAAGCTAGCTGTTAGACCCAGAAGCTCTACATTCTCAGGGCATAGTAATCCAGAGAAGGATTTTTTTAATTAACCTAATTGTTTAATTACCAGCTCAGTTACAGGAAATGCTGAGTTTATTCCTAGAAAGGGATGTTTGCAATGCCATGAATAAAGGGAATTAATTCTCATTATAATCAGATTTTCAACATATGATTTTACTAATTTATAAAGATGTTCTAGAAAATTAAAGAGACTTCTACCCTTAGATGGAAGAAGGAAATTCTAAGTCAGAACCCCACATGGAGGAATAAAAGATTAACTCCTTCCAGGGGGGACCAAGGTGAGTCTGAAGCCAGGACAGGAAGTACAGGAAGGGTTGTGTCCTCACTCCCAGGAAAACTTCCAGACCATTCTGCTGCTTCTCCATCCTTGTGGGAATGACCAACAACACATGTTCCCGTCTGCATGGCGAGAAGTTTCCACTCAAGGAGAGATTACAGAAAGCATAAGTGCTTAAAGATTAAAATCTTGAACTTCATTGTGCCATTCTTATCCAACTGGTCTTTAAAAAAAAATTAGTGCTCTGGTAATGTTTAGAAGTCAGAGCCCCACATGGAGACCCACAGAGCCTGGCTCCATGCTCAGGAGTGACTGCTCGTTTTGCTTGGGGGACCGTTGGTGATTTCTGGGATTCCAATCAGCCTCCCTAGGATACAAGGCAGGTGCCTTAATCCCTGTGCAAGGGCCTTAAATCCAGCCCCTAAGTGGTGCTTCTACTTTTGGGTTAACACCATGTGTCTGTGGGTTCAGGAGAATCTTCTTTTTAAAAAAAGGTGGAGGAGCAAGATAGAGATAATCCTCTTTTAATTATTTTAAAATACAGATGTGGACTTTGGAGTTAGACCTGGATTCAAATCCTAGTTCTTCCCAGCTCTGATAGTATGACCTAGGGGATATATTTGCGGTTTCTTTTTTACTTTTCAAAATTTACGTAGGTGCTGTGGTTTACAGAACTGTTAACATGAATGATTTAGGGATGTGACTCCTCTGTACCTCACCCACTTGCCTTCTCACACACGGGCCCTCGCCGCCACCCACTCAGTGAACTCAGTTATACAGACTGACTCTTGGGTCTGTTCTCATTGGTCATTGTCTGTTTCCTTTCTATGTTTCTTTAGACTCCACTTATGAGAGAGAGGCTCCTTTTTTTTTTTGTCCTTCTTTCTTTGACTCACTTTACCCAGCAAAATGCCCTGTAGCTCATGCCACATTACAGAGAACTTCATTATTTCATCTTATTGCCAAGTAGTGTTCAATTGTGTGTGTTTGTGTGTGTGTATGTGTGTGTGTATGTGTGTGTGTCACAGTTTCTAAATCCATTTTTGGGTGTATTGAAATGAAGGAACTGATTGCCATCATTTTGTATGGATTGTGTTTATGAAACTTTTCTTTGCTTCTCTTTTTTGTCTTTCTCTTCATCTGTTATTTTGTTCTCTGTGTATCAATATAATGTAACTGGGTTCATTGTATTTCAAAACATTAAAATCAATTTTTGGACCACACCTGTACAGCGCTAAGGACTATTTACAGGTCAGTGCTTGAGGGCTGCTCCCAGCAAAGCTTGTGGAAACAAGAGGTGTCAGGGATCAAATTTGGGAGCATGTTCTCCAGTACTTTGAGCTATATCTTAGCCCTTAGAATTTTTATCTTGTGGGTGGGGTCAAAGATATACGTTAATATGTTCAACCCCTTGCACCTTGTGATCATCTGAGCGCCACTGGGAGTAACCCCTACCACAGAGCCAGGATTAGTCCCTGGTACAACCTCTCCCCAAACCAGACAGACAGGGATGGAGATAAGTACAGCAGATAAGTACAGCTTACTTTGCATGTGGCTGATCTGTGTTTGGTCCCTGGTGCCACATATGGTACCGGTTTATGGTTCCCTGAGCCCTGCCAGGAGAGATTCCTGAACACAGCTGGTATAGCCCTTAAACCAAACAAAAACAGACAAATTTTATTGTGTAGGCCTTTCAGTCTTATACTCCTCAAATCATCTTGTATAACTGTAAGAGAATGCTTTGTTTCCATGTCTTCTACTCATGATGGACTTGGATTCACAGAACTATGGTTGATCTGTTGTTCATCACTGTGTTGTTCTACAGGTTTATTTCCAAAATAAGCTGAAGTTGGCCCTCATTGGCCAGAGCCTGTTTGGACAGGAAGTCTACAACCAACTCTGCAGACAGGGCCACCACGTTGTGGGTGTGTTCACAGTTCCAGACAAAGATGGGAAAGCTGACCCGCTGGGTGAGTGCACCTTGGGACAACTGCACTGGCCTTTCCGTCCTCCGGCCCAGCTCATGCCCCCATCTGCATTCACACTCACTCCCTCCACTTCTTTACCTCCAGCCCCGAGGACCCAGAATGCACACCTCCCCTCCCGACTCTGCCCTATGCACACTGTCAGTTTGCCAGTTAAAATCTTCCTGCACTCATGTAATGACATGGTAGATACAGATTCCCTGGTCACCCTTCCCTATGGATCCCCAAGACAAGCCAGGCTCCGATATTAAGAACTTTTCCAATTACCTTCAAGGTAATCACCAGGTCTATGAGAGGAATTTCCAGGCATGTGTTTTTCCTGAACTGCTTTTGTGATTTTTCTACAGGTGCTAAGGGACATTTAGAATCTTGTCTGATGAAGGTGTTAAGGAATACGAAGGAAGGAAATACCCAGTGATAGTAGACTGATGAGGGTTCATAGAAAATTTATTTATCTTGCAACAAACTGTGTCAGTGGCTGCTTGGCTATTCAAGAATGGGTCTCCTCAAAGCAAACCTGTAGTACAATTCTAATTTGCAATTTCAGTTTGTTTTTTTAAAAAAATAGGGCAAAACACTTAGATAGAAATAGTCTACCAAATAGTACAGATAGGGAATCAGAACTGATCACTAAGAATCTTGACTTATGACTTGAATCTTCATAAATCACTGGTAAGATCCAAGAAATAGTTAGAAACAATGATTTTTGATGACCCTATTTTTAACTTTTTGGGGGGGGGGGTCAGAGAAAGTCTTTCTTGGACTTTCCTAATTCTTGTTAGTACATCCCAAAATGTTGCATTTAAAGGATTATTTTTTCAAGAAACACTACCAAAAAAGTTGTCTCAAGAAAGAACATATATACTTATGGAATTAATCACTAGATTAGAAGTCATTCTTTTGATTTGTTTGTTGGTTTGGGCCCACATGCCCTAACTTCTGGCTCTGCACTCTGGGATATCTCCTGGCAATCTCGGGAGACTGTGTGTGGTGCCAGGGATTGAACCCAGGTATGCTATGTTCAAGCATCTATGTCTCTGGCCCCCACCATTTGTTTTTAAATTTGTTACTTTTGTGGTTTTATGCCACACCGGACTATGTGCTTAATTCTGACTCTGTAACTCTGTACTCAGGGACCAGTCCTGGCAGTGCTTAGGAGACCATATGGGGTGATGGATGCAAGGCAAATATCTTAATCCCTATTCTTTCTCTCCAGCATAGGAGTCATTCTTGTTCCAAAACAACTTTTTCTCAAGTTTTGCCATCTTTTCCCTAACACTTAGCAAATTTTCCTCTCTTCTAACACCTGAGTTGTTCACAGTTTACAAACATTGGCATTTTGTGAACATTATTATTACTAGTGTTTCCAAATTTTCTCAGTGGATTGATCAAGGCACCGCTCTACCCCTCGGGCCTGAATCCTTCAGGCTTCCCTTTGATTTAAGGATTCAGGCTTTGTGGCAGAGACATCATCCTCCTAGCACCCCAGGAGTCTTGAGTATTAATGGCCAGATTGGGGAGAAAGGAAACCCCAAAATGGATGTTAAAAGCCTAGTGAAGGGGCTGGCGAGATAGGACAGCAGGTAAGGCTCTTGCCTTGTATGAAGCAGACACAAGTTTGATCCTTGGCACCATATATGGTCTCCCAAGCCCTGCCAGAAGTGATCTCTGAGCACAGAGCCAGGAATAAGCTGTGAGCACTGCCAGATATGGTCCCGAAAAAAGCCAAACCAAAAGAAGCCCAGTGAATTCTTCCGGAAATTGTCTACGTGTAGTTACTTCAGGTTACAGATGGAAAGTAAATCTCTATACTTAATATGTAAAAGATATGTATTTGGTGAAAATGGTATTTCCTCATGCCAACTATGGTCTGTGACAATCTGGAGGCCATTCAAATTCCATACAGAGGTTAGGTGGAACCATTCCCTTGGGAAGAGATTGCAGCTTTCCCCAGGAAAGAGCCAGGATTAGCCTCCATAGGACCAACCGTCTAGGCAGCCTTTCTTCTCTAGTCTAGGTCTGTTTCTTCTGTTTGCTTAACTTGGTGAATCTGGGAGAGAAACTAGACAAATCCAGCTCAGGTTTTGGGATCAGACGTCTTGACAGGGAGATTATTCTCTGATTTATGCTTGCCCTGTGCTAGATGGGCTTGTGCTCAGGAAACAGTAACACGAGAGAATTTGCAGTTCAGAACTGAGCCTCTTTCAATACTGATACATGAACACTTGGTTCCAAATCTAAAATCAAATGAACTAATGTTCTTCCAATGACTCTACTTACAAATATACACTTTTTCATCTACAGAAGAAAGGCTACTACTAAAATCTCAAATATTATCTAGCCACAATTTTTTCCCTTTTCTTCTTATTTTCTTTCTTATTTTTCTTCTTTCTTTCTTTCTTTCTTTCTCTTTCTTTCTTTCTTTCTTTCTTTCCTTCTTTCTTTCTATCCTTCTTTCTTTTTTTTTTGGTAGTTCTAGGAATCAAACCCAGGACCTCACACATATTTAAGTATGAGCCACACCCCTGAGTTACACCTCTGCCCTCCCATCCCCACCCATTTTTAAAATTTTGGTGCTGAGGAACTCATTCATGCAAAACTAACCGCAAACCTTTGAATTAAAATATATTATATTTTAAATATATAGATTAAAATCACATTAGAAAAATGGCTGGATTGTGATATAAAAAATCTGGCACAATCTAAATTCTCCTTCCTCTCTTATACTAGTAAATATGAATCTGTAAAATGATTCTATATGAATCCACTACAGTACCTGCATGGGCTTTTTACAAAGAAAATTGAACGTCATCTTCTTTATGTTCAGCTTTAGCTGCAGAAAAAGATGGAACCCCTGTGTTCAAGTTTCCTCGTTGGAGAGTCAAGGGCAAGACCATCCGGGAGGTGGTGGAGGCATATAAATCCGTGGGTGCTGAGCTGAATGTGCTCCCTTTCTGCACTCAATTCATTCCCATGGATGTGATTGACAGCCCCAAGCACGGTTCCATCATTTATCACCCATCCATCCTTCCCAGACACAGAGGCGCCTCTGCCATCAACTGGTGAGATTTTCTTGTTTTAATACAAAGACAATTATCTTTTCCTGTCATATTTCTTTTCTTTTCCTTTTTTGGGGGGGAGGTGGGATGGGGGTTGGACAATAGGATTTGGGATCAGGGAACCATAAGTGGTTCTGAGGATCAAATTTGGGCTGGTTGGATGCAAGGCAAGCACCTTAACCACTGTACTTTCTCTCTGGCCCACAAGCATCCTCTGTTTCATCTTCCACTATCTTATTCTCTATAACGTCAGATCAAGTGTGATGTAGGAATTGGATCCGGTGAGCAAAATCATTTGATGCTACATTGCAAGAAGACCCCCAAGAGCCAAAAAAGAGCAGTAGGGATGAACTTGAATAGTGTGAATCATTAATATGTATTACCAAGACTCCAGAGGCAAGGTTGGCTAAAATAGCAGTGCCATTTAGTATTGCTTTTTGGGCACACTAACACCTTTTGCTTCCACTGTTAAGTCTCATAGTTGCTTGATTTACTATGCTCCCATTGTAGCGACCTTATATGCCATATCATCAGTTCATCGTGTGATGACATAGTCTACCACTATTTGAAATTGAAACTCTTCTTTTCACAGGACTCTCATTATGGGAGATAAGAAAGCTGGGTTTTCTGTTTTCTGGGCTGATGACGGCTTGGACACTGGCCCCATCCTTCTTCAGAGGTCATGCGAGGTGGAACCCAATGACACAGTGGACGCACTTTATAATCGCTTTCTTTTTCCTGAAGGAATAAAGGCCATGGTCAGTATATTTATACCATCAAGAAGAATTGGTAAACATTTAAAGATAGGGACTTTTTTTTATAGCTTTTTGGGTCACACCCGGCAATGCACAGGGATTACTCCTGACTCTGCACTCAGGAATCACTCCTGGAGGTGCTCAGGGGACCATATGGGATGCTGGGAATCGAACCCGGGTCAGCCGCGTGCAAGGCAAACGCCCTACCTGCTGTGCTATCGCTCCAGCCCCAAGATAGAGACATTTTTGAGAATTTTGACACATAAATTTTTACAAAAAATATAAAGCTGAAAAACAAAAACTAGATTTGATATTTATCAATATGATGAAATGCTTATGATGGAAACATAAGCTTTAACATTTCTTGTATTTTGTTTGTTTTGGGGTCATGCCAGGTGGTGTTCAGGGGTTACTCCTGAGACTGTGCTCGGAGATCACTCCTTGGAGGACTCAGGGGATCATATGAACGCTGAGGCTTGAACCTGGGTGGTCCACATACAAGACAAGTGCCCTACCCACTGTACCATTGCACCAGTGGTATTAATTTAGATTAACATTTCTTAATCTATGAAACTGGTTTGTGCTTCTCAGAGTAGCAAGTAAATGAATGAAGTAGCGACCATCAACCTGTTTCACTGATTTTGTTAAATACTTGACTCTCCAAATCTTATTTATAATGAATAGTTGTCAACAATCTACAGACAGCAGTTTTTTCTATGTCATTTGACTTTCCTTTAAAAGTATTAAAAGCATTAAAAGCAGTCTATGGGATGGCATAAAAGAGCATTTTAAAATTTCGATTTTGATTAGTCTCTGGGTACAAAAAAGCTCAATCAATATATAAAGTAAGGATAGATGTTTAGTCTTTGAAATATTGAAAGATTCTTTCTACGCCATTAAGTCTTCCCAGCATTTGATGTGATGGAAGCAGTAGAACAGAGATGGACGTTATCATGATATAAGGAGAGCATGACTTTGTGACATTTAATGGTAAAGAAACTAGGTATTGGGCTTGGAAAGTACAGATCAACCCATCCCAGAGCCTGTAAGTGATAGTATTATTGCTCAAATCAGTGGGATGGAATGAGTTGTTGAACTTGGTCCTGTTCCGAGTAGACTCCCCGTCCACATTCCTTTGGGGCAGGTGGTGAGCAGCTGTGGGTGCTCAAAGAGAAATCTGAGAACTTGTGTTCATGCAGGGGAGAGTCTCTCAGCTCAAAGCCATGTAAAAATGGTGCCTGCAAAGAGGGCAGGACACATCACAAAGGAAATCAAATCAATTTTTAAAAATTGGGGTTGAGGGGACACACACTGGGCAGCATTCAGAGCTTACTCTGGGATCACTGCTAATGGGCTCAGGGGACCGGATGTGTGCTGGGGATGAAATTGGTGTCTGCGACATGCAAGACAAGCACTCCCCCCCACACTGAACTTACTATTTCTCAGGCCCACCTGATTGATCATGTTGTTGTTGTTCTTCGAGGTGTGTGTGTGTGTGTGTGTGTGTGTGTGTGTGTGTGTACACATATCTGTCAATGCTCGTGGGTTAGTTCTGACGCTGTACTCAGGAATTACTCCTGGCAGTGCTCAGAGGACTATATGGTATGCTAGGGATCTATATCAGGTAGGCCGTGTGCAAGGCAAGTATCCTACCCACTGTGCTATCACTCTGCCACCTCTGATTGATTTTTAGCTTTCCAAAAATCCCAGGTGTTTGCTGGAGCAGTAGTACATTAGGGATGGCACTTGATTTGCATACAGCCAACCTACATTCCATCCCTGGCAACACGTATGACCCCCAGAACCCCTCCAATTCCCGAGGGCAGAGCCAGGAGAAGCCCTGTGACCGCCAGGTGTAGCCTCAAACCAAACCATCCCAGGTGTTCTAAACTAGAAAAGAACCTAAATTTATTTTACTTTATTGTTTTTTGGGGCCCCATCATGTGATGCTTAGGGACTATTCCCAAGTTGGTGCTCAGGGGATCGTCCCATGCCGGGGACCCAGTCCATGACTGCCTTGTGTAAAGTATGTGCTCTCGTCCTTTGAGTCATCTCTCAGGCCCCAAATGCAACTTTTTTTTTAATTAGTGAAACACCATGAGGTACAGTTATAGACTTACAAATTTTTGTGCTTGGGTTTCAGTTATACAATGATCAAGTACCCATCCCTCCACCAGTGCCCATTTTCCACCACCACGGGTCCCAGTATCCCTCCCATTCCCCATCCCCACCATCACACACTGCCTCTGTGGCAGGGCATTCCCTTTTCTTCTCTATCTCTCCTTTTGGGTGCTGTAGTTTGCAAGAGAGGCATTGAGTGCAACTTCTTAACTATAACAAATGCATCCCTTTCTGGAGTCACGATGAGCAGAAACACTACGTAGTGACTAGACAATTCCATTTCTGAAATTTTCATGAAATCTCTCCAAAGAGACGTAACGTATTTTTTTTTTTTTGCTTTTTGTGTCACACCTAGCAGAGCACTGGTGTTACTCCTGGCTCTGCACTCAGAAATTACTTCTGGTGGTGCTCAGGGGACCATATGGGATGCTGGGGATCAAACACAGGTTGGCCATGTGCAAGGCACCTGCAGTGCTATAGCTCCAGCCCTTAGGTAATATTTTTTGAAACAAAGATGTGATATGGTTTGGGGTCACACCTGGTGGTGCCCAGGGTTTACTCCTGGCTCTGCACTCAGGAATGACTTCTGAGTGATTGGTGGGCTTGGGGGACCATTTGGGGTGACAGGGATTAAACCCACGTTGACCAGATGCAAGGCAAGCACTTTACCCATTATACTATTGCTCCTACCCCAAGGGGACTGTTTTTAAGAATGAATGCTTTGTAGGGAGAGTGGAGAGACCTCTTTGCAGATCTCATCTTTGAACCATAAAAGCTATCTCAAACAGGTTCTTTGGGTATAAAGCAGAAATGCTAATATTTCCCTGGCTGAATTGAAAATAATATAGACCACAGATATTCTACCTACAGAGGCTCCACACTGCCTAGCATATAGATGAAATAAAAGAAATGATAGTTATGATCATGATCTGACTCTCTTGACAGATTTCTATGTTGTAGTTCTGTTCCCAAGAAACATTGGGAAACAGATCGAGCCACAAATGACCCCCAGGTTACAATGGGTCCTATTTCCGGTTGTAGGTGGAAGCGGTCCAGCTCATCGCTGATGGAAAAGCTCCTCGGATTCCCCAGCCAGAAGAAGGGGCAACTTACGAAGGTATCCAGAAAAAGGAAAATGCAGAGGTATTTATATCAGCTCACTAAGAGGTCTCAAAGATCAGGGTCTTCCATGAATAGAATAATAATAACTGTAATAATGTATAATAAGTTTTAGTTCTCAGAGTACCATTCCATGGCCACTTGCCCCAGCACTGCCCATTAATGGGCCCAAGAGCTCCTTCTCATTGCCTCTGAGACTCAGCACCAGGAGGTTCAACTTGCACTTTGTCCTTCCCTAGATTTCATGGGATCAGTCTGCAGAAGTCCTACATAACTGGATCCGGGGTCATGATAAAATGCCTGGAGCTTGGAGCCAGATAAATGGACAGGTATGTACTAAGGACTCATTTTCTTTATACTCCTTTTATTTGATAATTTTACACAGACCTGACCTTCTTACAGAGCATCCTGCAGGGGCTGGCTATCCCTCTTTGTTCCAACAACACCCTGCCTATCTTTGAGACAGCAGCTTCCACATCCTTTAATCTATCCTTTCTGCCTCCCTGAGCCATCTATCTATCCATGAATCCCTGGAAACTAGAACTTCCCTTCACTGTCTTGATCAGGGGGCCTCAGTGCATCCTCAATGTCTGTTTAAAGATATGCCATCAGGCGCCAGAGTGATAATACAATGGGTAGGGTGCTTGCCTTATATGTGGCCAACCCAGGTTCGATCCCCAAAACTACATATGGTCCCTGGGGCCCACCAGGAGTGATCCCTGAGTGCAGAGTCAGGATTAAACAGTGAGCACCACCTATGTGGACAGGACCCCTGAACCCCCCTCCCTAAAAATAGGCATGGGTTCAGTGAGGAACCAGTGAAGGAAGTTTTTGCAGTGGATGAAAGTACAGAATTGGAAACAGGAATGATGGAACTCAGTATAGGGTAAAGCCCTGGGTTCAATTGTGTTGAAAATAAGGGAAAGATGATGTGAAACCAACAATAATCTAGCCTTTGAACTTTTTTTAAAATTTTTATTAGTGAGACATCATGAGGTACAGTTGTAGACTTACAAATTTTTGTGCTTGGGTTTCAATTATACAATGATCAAATACCCATCCCTCCACCAGTGCCCATTTCCCACCACCACAGATCCCAGTATCCCTCCCACCCCCCACCCCCCCATCCCACTCTCCCTCTGTGGCAGGGCATTCCCTTTTGTTCTCTCTCTCTTATTGGGTGTTGTGGTTTGCAAAAGAGGCAATGGGTGACAATCATGTTTGGTCTATAGCCTACTTTCAGCATGCTTCTCCCATCCTGGGAGGATCCTCCCAACACCTTTATTTGGTGTTCCCTTCTCTATCTGAGCTCCCTTTTCCCCTAGCACATGTGGCTGGCCTCCAAGCCATGGAGTAAAATTCCTGGTACTATTCTTGGCCATTCTTGGGTGTTAGTCTCCTATTTTGTTACTTTATGTTCCCCAGATGAATGCAATCTTTCTATGTCTATCTCTTTCTTTCTGAGTCATTTTGCTTAACCTGATACTTTCCAAGTAGTACCACTTGTATGTAAATTTCATGACTTCCTCTTTTCTAACAGCTACATAGTACTCCATTGTGTAAATGTACCAAAGTTTCTTTAACCAGTCATCTGTTCTCCGGTACTCAGGTTTTTTCCAGATTTTAGCCTTTGAACTTTTAATCTTTTTCTGGGCTGGCAATTGGAAGTCTAGTCCAGCAGATTCTGGAACTTCATTTTCTTGCCTATTGCTTTGTTAGATTGATAAGGGGATGGGGCCTTAGCCTGTCTAGACCTCAGTGACCTCCTTCAAAGACCTGTCTGAGCCAGAACTTGGAACCAGCCACTTGACTGGAAAGCTGCGGACCCCAAGTTGAGTGGGGTTTCTTGGACTTTGTAGCAGTGCTGGGCAGTGGCAGCCCCCTGTCACCAGGGTGCATGAAGGCCCACAGTGCACAGCCCACAGCCTGACTCTTGCTCTAGTGCCATGTCAAAGACTGACATGCTGTATTCAACATGTCAGTGGCTTGATGACAAAGCTGGCTTGGCATTAGATTTGCCAGGTTGTGGGCTGGTATAAGTGCTCCGACCAGCTTTATTTGGTTTTTGGTTTTCTGCTATTTGGGTCATACCGGTGGTGCTCATGGCTTACTCCTGGCTCTGTACTCAGGAATTACTCCTGGTGCTGCTCAGGGAAACCATATGGGATGCCAAAGATTAAACCTGGGTCGGCTGGATGCAAGCCAAACACCCTACCTGCTGTACCATTGGTCTGGCCCCAACTCTGACCAGCTTTAAAGTAGGCTGGCTGCACTCTTCTGAAAGTCTGAAAGTGAGGGGGGTGGAGGGAGTGTGTTTTCAGTTTAGAATACTTTCAACTGAGGACTGGCTTAGAGGCAGGATAGGCTTAGAGGCATGTGACTATTGTGACAGGGAGGTCTGCAGTGCCCATGGACTCTGGATCTATACTCACAGACCTTCCCACCAAAATCTCCACTCCTGGGCTAGAGAGATAAGGCAAATGGAGAAGGCACTTGTTTGGATGTAGCAGATCCTGGTTCAATCCCCGACACTGTATATGGTCCCCTGAGCACTGCCAGAGTGAGTCCCGAACACAGAGTCAGGAGTGAGCACTGAGCATCACTGGGTATGACTCCCAAATCCCAGGCTCCCATCCCCTCCAAATTCCACTCATCCCATAGCTCCACCTGCCCCCATCCCAAATCCTACCTGTAGCCATAAAGCCTGTGAGAGCGGTTTCACTAATTCGTTCCCCTTCTCTCACTGTGAGTAGAAGGTAAAGGCTTACTCTTGCAGCCTGGAGGGAAAATGAATGGAAACCCTCCAACTACATTTAGCCGCAGACTATCTCTTTTTTCTGTTATGCCTCTAGGGGGTTGATAGAGTTTCTCCCACTGGGCTATCCCACTTTTACTATGATCTATTATTTGATGGGGCCAGACAGATAGAACAGGGTTAAGACACTGGCCATGCATGTGGCCTGTCCCCAGTTCAATTCCTGACACCATACGTGGTTCCCTGAGCACCACAAGCCGTGATCCCTGAGTATAATTGGGTATGGCCAACCCTCCCTCCAATCATCTGAACTTTAGTGTTTTTTTTTTGTGTATCTTGTACAACCCCCTGAAAGCAGTCTTCACCCCCTCATCTCACACTCTGTGCTTGATCTCTTCCTTAGATGGTCACTTTCTATGGCTCATCATTACTGAATGGTACTGTGCCTGCTGGGGAACCCCTGGAGATCAAAGGCGCCAAGAAGCCTGGTCTGGTTACCAAAAACGGACTTGTGCTTTTTGGTAATGATGGAAATGCCGTAAGTGGGTTTTTTGTTTGTTTGTTTGTTTGTTTCTGACTTCCTTCTGTCACTCAAGCTAGGAAAGGAAGGATTTCCCAAACTATCCAGTTTGCAGTGAAGTGGGGAGGTATGAGCGGTCTGTGCCCCACTTCTCTGGGGCCAAGCTGGCTCTTCGTGCCTTGATGAGAACAAGGACTGGCCCGGTCTGCTTTGTGATGCAGCAGAAAGGACTTGGATAGCCATCAGGACACTGGGCAAGCCACCGTGCACCATCTTCACTGAATTGTCTTCGGCAAGATGCTTCTCTCTAGAGTCTCAGTTTCCCTTTTGTGAACAGAGCAAGCCTGTCTGTCTATCTCCTCACTGCCAGAGCCAAGAGGAGACACGTGTGACCTCTCAGGAGCCCCAGCTGCCCTGCCTCTCCGTCCACGCCCATTGCCCAGGCAGGGGACTGTGGCTCTGGCCAGCGGGGGGCTCTTGGCAGCTTCCCAGTGAAAAAGCCGAAAGGGAATCAGCTGCTGGCACTGACTCTCTGGGCACCAAGGGGCTGGATCTCTGAAGTCCAACAAGTCCTCATTCCTGTTCTAGCTTTCCTAACTGTGTGGCACTGGGCTAATTACTCAACCTCACTGGGTCTCCATTTTCCTATCAGTAAAATGAGAATAATAAGGGCTGAAGGGATGCTATAGTGGGAGGGCACTCGCCTTTCATGCAGTTGACCCCGGTTTGATCCCTGGCCCACTCCCCCCTACGGTCCCCTGAGCCCTGCCAGGAGCGATCTCTGAGCAGAGCCAGGAGTAAGCCCTGAGCATTGCTGTGGGTGTGGCCAAAAATAAAAATAAAAGGGATAATTATAGCACCTGCCTCCATTGGAATTTATGAGATCAAATTTACACACACACACGTATGTATATATTTAAATACCAATCATGCTACAGAGTGGCTAGATGATGGTATGAATATAAGAGCTCTAGCAGGTTTTAGTTTGTTTACCTATACTTCAAATGTCAGTGTTTCCAGGGCTTATTGTCCATTCTTCTGAACATCTTATTGAGAGTATCACCTGCAAGACTTGACTTTCTCCTCCCTACAGCCATTATTAAAATGCTATTCCAGGGGCTGGAGAGACAGAACAGCAGGTAAGGCTCTTGCCTTGCATGCAACCAACCTGTGTTCAATCTACAGCATCACACATGGTCTCCTGAGCCCACCAAAAGTAATCTCTGAGCACAAGAGTCAGGAGTAAGCTCAGAACACAGCCAGGCATAGCCCAACCTCCTCACCCCAAAACCATTCCAGTCCTTTTGCACATAATAGTAAATACTTTTAATCCAGGAGTTTGTATTTTCCAAATAAGTCAGTCCTTTTGTCTCTGTAATATCTAACACTTCTTCTCCCCCCAACCTCACAATTGAATTATCCTAATCCTCAACTCTTCTGCTTCTTTGGGTGCTGTTTTTAGCTGTTGGTGAGAAGTCTGCAGTTTGAAGATGGGAAAATGATTCCTGCCTCGCAATACTTTTCAGCGGGGGAGACGGCCACAGTAGAACTCACAGTCGCTGAGCTGCAGGTGGCGGAGACCATCAAGGTGAACGTGTGATATCCTTCATATCATCTGAATCTGAGGAAACGGATCTCATGGCCTTCAAAATCATAGCGCCGGGACTTGATTTCCTCCTCCTTTTTGTATTATCTACAATGGGAGGCCAACCCTGAAATTTGTTTTGCAAACATAACTTTCATTTACATAAATAACCTTAGTGGTTTGAGGTGGACATGGGGTTAGAGTAAATCTAGAACATGAGGATTAAAGGTGAAGATATTTGGGTTGTGGCTCTGTCCTCTTTAAGATCACCTCCATTTCTCTAGCCAACAAGAGCCAAAGGGGAAAGAGAGATAGTACCCGGGTTAAGATGCTTTCCTTAAACATGTCCGACTCCTGTTCAATCCTTGGATCACAAAGGGTCTTCTGAGCACTGTCAGGAGTTACTCCTGAGCTCTGCCAGAGGATCCCCTGCACACCACCAATTGTTACCCCAAAACCATAAAGGAAGAAGGGCCAGAGAGCACAGAGCATTCTGGGAGGGAGGTCTGATGTGGGCCAGAAGTGAAGTGAGCACATTCCACTCAGCCTTGGTGCGACGGCATCAGCTGGCTACATCGGAGATGCAGAGAAACATAGTCAGGGCGCATTTCTTTTTTTCTTTTTGGGTCATATCCAGCGATGCACAGGGATTGCTCCTGGCTCTGCACTCAGGAGATACTCCTGGGGGTGCTCAGGGGACCATATGGGACGCTGGGAATCAAATTGGGTTGGCCCCATGCAAGGCAAACACCCTACCCATTGTGCTATCTCCAGCCCCCTATCATTCCCGCCCCCAGGACACATTTCTAAGGTGAAGAGGAGAGAGGGGAGTAAGGTGATTTCTGTTACAGTGTTCCATGTGGTGTTTCCCTCATTAAGGTCTCTCTTGCATATATAGATCATCTGGGCTGGAATTTTAAGCAATGTCCCTGTTATAGAAAACTCAACAGACTTCTTTAAATCTGGAGCAAGCTCTATGGATGTTGTCAGGTAAAGCCACCAATTTTTTTTTGCTTATCTTATGTCACAATCCTCTGCTACTGACATCAAAAGCCAAATGTAGGGACCAGAGTGGGTAGGGCATTTGCTTTGCATGCAGCCGACTTGAGTTCGATCCCTGGCATACGATATAGTCCCCCAAGCACCACCAGGAGTAATTCCTGAGTGCAAAACAAAGACTAACCCCTGAGCATCTTTGGATGTAATACCTCCCCCCCAAAAAAAGACATATGTAATCCTTTGTTATGTATATTACCATTCCACCCACTCCAATTACTATATTCCTCTTGACTGCATATTTTATTGGTTTTGCTTTTCTTTCTCATGGTCAATCAGATTTATTTTCCCCTTCTTATTACTAATTAGGAGATTTTTCTTAACCATCTTCTAAGTACTTTAAAAACTAAACTTTCTTATTGTCTGTTTCTTTTCACAATCTGCCCTCACATTTCTTAGCTGTTTTTTTCTAGTATCCAATATTCGGCAAATATCTAGTATCTAATATCCAGCAAAACTTTTCTGTAGCATCTAATCCAGGATGTTAACTTGGATTACACTTCTCCCAAAACAATTTTTTATCCTATTCCTTCAGATTACACAGTAAGATATAGCTAGAATGAGGATTATTGGGCAATTTGCAAGAGTCACAATAATACACTACGGTGGGAATTTCTTGGTAGCCTGTTTCATAGCAAGTTGAAAGAATAAGAGTCCTGGAATGATCCCTCAATGGCGGAGAGTTAAGGACCTCAACAGAAGAAGAGAAGCTTACAGACATGGTTTTTTTTGTGTGGCCACTTGTGAATTAAACCTGCTAAAGAATGCTACTTCTTTGATGTAATCTTCCTGATAAAGCAGTGTCCTTGATGAATATGCTGCTTATTTGTTTTTTTTTTTATCTAATAACCCTAACTGAACACTTATTATATGTTCAGGAATATGTTCAGTACTTGTGCAGTGTAGTTCATTACTGAAGTTTTCTTCCAGAAATCTATAATTGTCATTTCAAGAGCAAATTTCATTATCAGAAGTAAAGGAATTTGATTTCTCAAATAGCAGATTTTTTTAAGCTAAAACTTAAACTGCCAAGTAATCAGAGTAAATGCTTCTTTCAGTCATATACATGGTCTGGGGAAAATGATTAACAATATGACTATTATTTCTCACTATCTTTAGAGTCAGGAAATTTTAATTATTTTTGATTCTTTGAATACACTTTGAAAGGAAAGGAACTGATTTTATTTCCTTGCAATAATTCCAAATTTTGGTTTTGCCTTGGTCCTTTTCTTTATAGCCATGTAAAAAGTTAAAAAAAAAAACCACCATCACATTCCTCTGTGATATGTCTTATTTAAAAGCACCTTGAAAAATATAACAACACAGTTCCCCTACATCCTTAAAAAATGTTAAGTAACATGGGCTGGCTCTTCTTTTTTAGGCTGGTTGAAGAGATCAGGCAGAAATGTGGTGGGCTTCAGTTACAGAATGAAGATGTCTATATGGCCACTAAATTTGAAGATTTCATCCAAAAGGTTGTGAGGAAGCTCAGAGGAGAAGATCAGGAGGCAGAGCTAAGAGTGGATTATGTAAGCCTTTCCATGGTGTTTAAAACCGAAATCACAGAGTTACTATGAATGGTGTGCCTTTCGTCATTTGTTTCTATACTATCGCCTTTTAAAGAGAACAGTTGGGAGGGTTGGGTAGAGCAATAGTACAGTAGGTAGAGCTGTTGTCTTACACTTGGCCAACATGGGTTTGATCCCCGGCATCCCATATGATCCCCTAAGCACCACCAGGGATGATCTCTGAGTGTAGAGCCAGGAGAAACACCTGAACACTGCCAGGGGTGGCCCAAAACCCAAAAAAACTTATTAATTTAAAAGGACAGTTTTATTGAAACACAAATCAGATACATTTTAAATCCAGCAATTCACAAATCACAAATCATCCTGTTATTCGTCGATTGCCTCAAGCAGGCCCCAGTAACTTCTCTTTCATCCTAGCCCTGAGATTATATTCAAGGCTCTTTAGGAGAATGAGACCCATCATTGTTACTGGTATTTGGCATATTGGGTACGCCACGGGGAGTTTGCCAGACTCTGCCCTGTGGGCAGGCTACATTCGATAGCCTGCCAGTTTGTCCAGAGGGACAAAGCCACACGGGTTCCGGGTCTGAGATCTCCAAGCCTACTCGGATTGGGGCCGAGCATCCTACACCCAGATCCTCCAAATTCCAGTAGGCGGGGGTCAAACCCACCAACTGGCCCCCTGGCGCCGTGTAATCCCATCAACGGCCAAGACCCAGAGACTATAAAAACCAACTCCCGGACATCTTATTATGACATCTTATTATCTCATTCCTGCTTTGGACAAATCCAGCAATTAAAAATGTAAAATGTTGTTATTCGTGCATTACAGAGTTGTGTTTCCATTAATAGTCCTTTGATTAGGAAACATTTTTATTAAGCATCCCTTCTCACCCACCCAAAGAGATCTTCCATCCACTGCCAATCATTCTGTTCTTTATCTTCCCTTTCCCCGACTCTGATTCCTGGAGACAAGTGGAGGTCTTTGTAAGACTCAGTCCAGACTGCCTTGGTCCTCTCAGATACTGACTTCCTGATTCAGTAACCAAACTTTCCATGTGCTTGTAAACATTTATCTTTTCTGGACAATGGAAACTTGAATGGCATTGGGTTAACCTCTCCTACATTAGTGTCTTTATTAAGCTCTTTGGTATCAAATAGAAAAAGGAGAGAAATGTTGAGTCTATTTATGCACTTCTCTTAGGTTTCAAAGGAGGTCAATGAAATGACAATAAATATGCCATATCAGTGTTTTATAAATGGACAGTTCACAGATGCCGATGATGGGAAAACTTATGACACAATCAATCCAACAGATGGCTCTGTAAGTAATGACTTTGTGTGTATGGTAACCCCCAGACTCGAATTTTACTTCACACACAGTTGTAAAAGGAACCATCTTAGGAAGTTCTATTCTATCACTGCCTTCAAAATTTCACATAAACATATTTCATTATTTTCAACTACTCAATTCCGATACTGCCTGCTGATAACTATCTATCTGTAATGTTGTATTTTACAAAATAAATATTTATGATGAATTTAGAGAGGTAACCGTACCTCCACGCATCAATGGCACACTTCCACATAAAAATATACATTAAATATTTTTATTTAAATGCGGTCATTTACAAAGCTGTTACAACTTTTTATGGATATTTCAATGTTCTAACACCAGTACAACCACCAAAGAGACCTTCCTTCCACCATTGTGTATTTTATAAAATCACCCTCTAAGCCTGTTCCCTTAGCAGGGACACAGTAATTTATTCTATATTGCTTGTTACAACTAAATAGCGAGTGGAATTATCAAAAATACTTCAGTGAAAGAAAATTTGTGAAAATTATTATAGCTAACCACAAGGATGTTAAGTCCTTGTCTGAGGATTGTCTAAGCTATGTGTTGCTCATCGAGTCTCCAGTATTATGATTTTAATTTGTTGAGTTTAGTTGCCTTCTAAGCTACTGCCATGTCATTTGGTGTGTTCCTACTGGAATTTCAGTATTGTGGAATTCAGATTTGTTGTGCTGTTGTATATATAGCAGAGTGGTCGAGGAGAGACTTCAGTGCCTGTAGTCTGGGCCAATGAGTTGACATGGTGGTAGCTCTTAGAGATGGCTCCCAGGGCTTTAGGGAGCACTGTGGGGAGGGAAGGCTGCCCACCCCTCACACTCTAAGAAGATGCTAGAGTTCTCAGCCTGGACACTGGCTGTTTTTGCAGCTTGGTACCTCTGCAGAGATTCTTAGTGAAGTGGTGGAATGGAGCCGTTGGCATGGCTGCAGTCGTGGGGTGTGGGTGAGGCTGCCATGGCTTTGACTTGTTTTATTTTAAAAATTTTAAAACCAGAGAGATAGTACAACATGGGGGCGGGAGGGAATGGGGGGACATTTGCCTTGCATACAGTTCAATCCAAGCACTGCCAGAAATAATTCCTGGATGCAGAGCCAGGAGTAAGCCCTGAGCATCTCTGGGTTTGGCCCCTAAAACAAACAAATTTTTTTAAAAATTTAGTTATTTATTTTTGTTTCCCTTGACACACCATGATCTACAATACTGTTATTGATAGGATTTCATGATACAACGTTCCAACACCAAACCCTCCACCAGAGTACCTGCATCCCCCTCCACCACTGAAATAATTTCTTGGCTAGCAATTTAGGTCAATGTTCGTGCATGTGTTTCACACACACACACACACACACACACACACACACACACACACACACACACTCTGTCCCCAGCAGCAAATAAATAAGCACTCTTTGTTTACTATGGGTTTGTTAATTTCACATAATAAAATTTATTATGATTTATAGGATATTTTCCTATTTTTCCCATTAATGTAACATTTAATCATATGAACTCTATTTGTATATCTCTACATAAATATCACCTTTTTTTTTCTTATTTTGAAATAGACAATATGCAAAGTATCCTATGCTTCCTTGGCGGATGTTGATAAAGCAGTGGCAGCAGCCAAGGATGCTTTTGAAAATGGTGAATGGGGACGAATGAATGCAAGAGAAAGAGGAAGACTGATGTACAGGTAACTATTTCTAAAAGCACATATACCACCAAAAGAAGAAAAAAGTAGTAAATAAAATAAAAAGAGAGAGAGAGAGAGAAGAGAGAGAGAGGGAGAGAGAGAGAGATCATGGGAGACGGCATTGGTGGTGTTGCTCTCATATTTGTCAGAGACAAGGAAGATCATTCTTAATTCATCCTAGCCTGATGCCTAGGTTGGTGGCCCAGAGATTTTTCATACTTGCTTGGTCACTCTCACTGTCCTCCCGTTGTTCATCGATTTGCTCGAGCGGGCCCAGTAACGTCACCATTGTGACACTTGTTACTGTGTTTGGCATATCGAATATATCACGGGGAGCTTGCCACGCTTTGTCATGTGGGCGAGATACTCTCAGTAGCTTGCTGGGCTCTCCGAGAGGGGCAGAGGAATCGAATTCAGGTCAGACTTGCTTGGTACACATTAAAAATAAACAAAAAAACCCAAACACAACACAACAACCCCCCGCCCCAATCTGGGATCAGAGAGATAGTGCAGTGGGCATGATGCTTACTTACACACAGTCAACCTGGGTTTAATCCTGGTACCGCATATGGTGCCCTGAGCAATACCAGGAGTGATCCTGGAGCTGAACCAGGAGTAAGACCTGAGTGCCACCAGGTGTGACCCACCCCACAACAAGCAGATTTGAGTTACACGGTCTTATAGTCTCTGGAAAGTCCTACACACACTGCCCATAGGAACTGGGCACCAAACAGCAATTCTTGCAGTGTTTGCAATTCATTCCGTGGATTAGTCTTGCGCACTCCTTTCAGGGTTAGAATAGTTCTGTACCCACCAGAAATGCTCGTGTTTGCATAGATTTTCAACAGGAGTGGGTTGCATTCTGTCATCTCACCCTATATGTATGAAGCCCCTTTTCCACGTTTTCCTGCCACTGATGTATCCTTGGATGACTGATCATGCTCAGTACCACACATCTCTGAGATGGGTAGGTAGCCAAGTGATGTACGTGCAGCTGTCGCATATGGAAAATCCCGGAGAAGGACCAGCATTGTTGATGGACTTTCTGGTGCAATTCTGAGTAAGATACCAAGCTTAACTTCTCGTTGTAAAGACTTCACAGAAGCTTCATATCTCCTGCAAGATCTCTCCCTTTGCCTCAAGCAGGGGGAGCAAACCTAGGTCAGTCCTAGGTAACCTCTGGGAAAAATATAGCTCACTGTGCAATTATTCTACAACTTTCACTCATCAAAATCATGCCCACCAGGGACATCACAGTTTGCAGCTACTATGACAATCCATAACAGTGGCTACCTAGTGATCAGGACCTCAGACCCCAGGTATTTGAGAAGAGAGCGAGAAAGATAGGGGAGGTGGAAGTGTTATGACATTAAAAAAAAAAAAGAGGGGAGGAACTGGAGCAATAGTACAGAGGGTAGGGCATTCACCTTGCAAGTGGCCGACAAGGATTCAATCCCCAGCGTTTCATATGGTCCCCCCAGCACCACCAAGAGTAATTCCTGAGTGCAGAGACAGGAGTAACCCCTGAGCATCCCTAGGTGTGACCCCAAAAGCTGAAACAACAAAAAAAATGTAGCACTGTAAAACTACAGCACTGTCCTCCCGTTCTTCATCAAATTGCTCAAGCGGGCACCAATAACATCTCCATTGTGAGACTTGTTACTGTTTTTGGCATATCGAATAAAAAGTAAAGTAAAATAAAAACTACAAAAGAGGGGAAACAAAGACGGCTTCCTATTCCCCTTGGGGACCTCCACTTCCTGCTCTTGTGGGGACATCTTTGTTACTTTCTTTTTCTTAAACACTTTATCCCTGCTGGGTATTCACTTCGCCTGTCTCTTCTACCTATTTTAAATAAAAGCCTGATTTTCTATTTTGTGTTTTCCATAACATCTCTTTTGGGGAGACACGAGAATCAGGATCGGGGGTGGGGTAGAGGCTGTGCATATTGGGGCTTCACCTCGTCACTCTTTAACACACTGATGAGGTAAATGACCAGTGATAACACTCTCTATTTTTCCTTTGTTATCCTTGTAACAAAACACTGGTGAAATATTTTTTTATTTTTTCTTTTCTTTTTTTATATAGGAGTATTTCTATTTATTCAGCCATTGATTAGGCTGAAATCATTTTTTTTAATGCTGGTGGACTGCATCTCCATGAGGACAGGGACCCGTGCGTTATGTTCACCTCTGAAAGCTCAGCTCCTAGGATGATGGTGCCCGATTTGCAAAAGGGGCCCATCTATGTTTGCTGAATGAATTTCTCTCCCTGTTCTTTCAGACTTGCAGACCTACTGGAAGAGAACCAAGAAGAGTTGGCAACCATTGAAGCCCTTGATTCAGGCGCTGTCTATACTCTGGCTCTGAAGACTCACATTGGAATGTCTGTGCAAACTTTCAGATACTTTGCGGGCTGGTGTGACAAAATTCAGGTAGGTGCAAATATTATTCATCTCCACCTAGATCATTCCAACAGAAAAAAGCGAGTCTTTATTTTTGTAAAAATGTTCTTTTTTAAATTTTATTAATTGGTAAAGATACTGTATCAGAGACATTTTGTAGCTTTTTCTCATCTGATTCTTCTAGCAATGACCAGAGAGAGATAGATAACTATTATCCCTTATTCCAGGTAAAGAGACAGAAGCTTGGGACATGAGGGAGTTGTCAGGATCACAAAGTAGGTCAAGTGAACTATGAAGATAGAATTTGAACACCAGACACTCAGAATTGAAAGTTTAATGATTCTCTTTGTTATCATAGCTCCAGAAGTTTTCTGATATTCTCATATCTATATCAGCTAATTTGGTGTCAGGGGAAAACTGCAAACTCAAATTCCTACAGAGACCAGGGAGCAAACACAGAAAAAGTGAAACTAAGATTGGTTATAAGGAAAAATGATTTTTTTCTTTCTTTTTCTTTTTTTTTTTCTTCTGTTGTTTTTGGGCCCACCCAGTGATACTCAGGGGTTACTCCTGGTTCAGTACTCAGGATTTACTCCTGGTGGTACTCAGGGGACCATACAGGATTCTGGGGATTGAACCCAGGTCAGCTGCATGCAAGGCAAGTGCCCTAACCACTGTACTATCTCCTTAGCCAAAATTATACTATTTAAATCTGGGCGTGTTGCTGTCACTACCACTAAAAACATATTGCTGTCACTACCATCATAGGGACTGGAGCTATAGTACAGCAGGAAGGGCACTTGTCTTGCTTGCAACCAACATGGGCTCGATTCCCGGCATCCCATATGGTTTCCTGACCACCACCAGGAGTAATTCCTGAGTGCAGAGCCAGGGGTAACCCCTGAGCACTACCAGGTGTGGCCCTAATATTAAGAAAATAATGAAATATTAAAAAATAAAATAGGGTCAAAGAGACCTGACCCAGTTCTACCAGCTGGCGTTAATAAAGTTATTTGCAACCTGAGCTTTACTTTCCTCATCTCCAACATGGCCTTATTAGTGAAAATTTGTAGTGAAGATTAGAAGCAAGTGTTTATATATCAATCTATGCAAACAAATATTCTTGGACTTACACATAAATGTAGTGTTCATTATGATTCAGCCATATAGACATGCATATGGAAATATTTTGTAATGGTGGCTCAAGTCCATTCTTTTCCCCCAATTATGAGATATGAATGAACTTTAAACCTTTCACTTTAATTTGTTTGATTGCTTCAAATTCACTTGGTGCCCAAACTTAACCTGAACCAACATGAACCTAATTATAATCTTTATGCTGTGAAGAAAGACCATTCCTAAGTTTCACAGGAAATATTGTTATGTTTGGTTATGAAAGGCTTTCTGGACCTTATATCATAAATAAAATATATAATATAAAGAAATATATTTATATAAATATAATATAGATTATATAAAATTAATTTATATGAATATAATATATAATAAAAAAAAGTTCTACTGAGTAGTTGTTTGTTTCTCTCTTGGCCTCAAGAAGTTGAAAGACAGCTGGCAGAGGCAGTGAGAGACATGGCTTCTCTAAGTGTGCTAAACCAGCCTCACAACCTCCAGCCTCAAAATCCTCTCCTGGCTAGGCTGGAGCCAGAGTATAGTGGAACTGGGTTCGATCCCCAGCATCCTCTATGTTCCTATGTCCTGCAGCACCGCCAGGAGTGATTCCTGAGTGCAGAACCATGAGTAACCTCTGCTGAGCACTGCCGGATGTGGCCCCCAAAACAAAACAAGACACAAACTGCCTGGTGTCCTCATGAACCCACAGTGCCAGCTACTTAGCAACATTCTGAGCAGGAAGAACAAAGCAGGAATGGGGAGAAAGGTAGAAGAGCATGGTCAGAGCTGTGTTGGCCTACTTTATTTGTTTACATTGGTTTGGGGAACACACCTGGCAGTGCACAGAGCTTACTCCTGGCTCTGCAGTCAGGGATACCTCCTGGTGGGACCCAGGAGATCATATGGGATGCCAGGGATGGAACCTGGCTTGGTTGTGTACAAAGCAAGCAACCTACCCTCTATGCTATCTGGGTACAGCCTACTTTATTGTTTATTTATGTTTGGCAATGCTGGGCATTGAATCCAGGGCTCCCCACATGCAAGGCAAGTGCTCTTCTACTGAATCACAAACTCAGTGCCAGCATCAACCTACTTTGCAGAGCATTCCTTTAGCATGGAGAGACAGCCCAATGGACTAAGCTCAGACTTTGCATTCAGGAGGCATGGGTTTCATCCCCAAGACTGCGTGCTCCCTGAGCACTGCCAGAAGTGATCCTGCGCACAGAGCCAGGAGTAGAAGTAGCTCCCAAGAATCGCCAGGTGTGACCTAAAACTAAGTGCATTAATAAATAGCACTTCTTTTCTAGTGCCTCGTGCTAAAATCATATATAGACTATGTGCTAGGAAAAAATATTTTATCTGGACAAACTGCTGTAAGCATAATTAGGGATTTTGTTACCATAGACAAGAGGCAGAAATGGATCATGGCAAAGCCGTAACATTCTCTGCCAAGCAAGAAAATGGGACTGGATATATATATATATATATATATATATATATATATATATATATATCCAATTGGCAAGCTACCCAATTGGTATTCGAAATGCCAAACACAGTAACAAGTCTCACAATGTTACTGGGCCCGCTTGAGCAAATCAATGAACAATGGGAGGACAGTGACAGGGACAGTGACCTAAATAAGTTCAGGACTTATTTCTGGCTGTGTGCTCAGGAATCACTCCTATATGTCGTGCCAGGATCAAATTTGAGTCAGCCTATACAGACTAAGTGCCTTAACTAATCTCTCTGATCCTGGGTGTGTGTGTTTCTTAGCTTTACATATCAGCTAAGTCTAAAAGAGAGAGGCATATTTTAAAAAAAATAACTCTTTGTGATTGAATTAATTGATTTGGGGGAGAACCAAACCCAGCAATCCTCAGGGATTACTCCTGGCTCTGTGCTCAGGAATTACGTCTGGCAGTGCTCAAGGGACCAAATGGGACGTGGGAGATGAAACCAGGGTTGGCCATGTTCAAGGCCACATGCCCTACATGCTGTTCTTATCACTCCAGTCCCTGAATTGATTAACTTAAATTAGTGAAAAGAGAGCCGAATAGATAGTTCAGTGGACTAAATTTTGGAGATAGGAGGCACTTTCTAGAGCAGTCTCTGAGCTGGGAATAGTCCCAATGCACTGCCAGGTGCAGTCTCCAAACCTGCCCCCCGACTGAAAGTAAATCAGTACATTAGTGTCAACATGGATGGCTGTTCTTTTTTTTTTAATCACCGTGAGACACAGTTACAAAGCTTTCATATTTGAGTTTCAATCATACAATGATCAAATACCCATCCCTATACCAGTGCACATTCTCCACCACCAATGTCCCCAGTATGCCCTCCCCCTCTTTTCAACCTTCCCCCTGCCTCTAGGGCAGACAATTTCCTCCATATTCTCTCTTTGCTTTGGGGCATTATGGTTTGCAATATAGATACTGAGAGGCTATCACGTTTGGGTTTTTTTTTTATCACGCCCGGCGATACACAGGGGTTACTCCTGGCTCATGAACTTAGGAATTACTCCTGGCTGTGCTTGGGGGACCATATGAGATGGTGGGAATCGATCCCAGGTCGGTCATGTGCAAGGCAAACGCCCTACTTGCTGTGCTATCGCTCCAGCCCCCAGAGGCTATCACGTTTGATCCTTTATCTACTTTCAGCACACATCTCCCATCCCAAACGATCCCTCCAAACATCATTGTCTTAGTGATGCCTTCTCTATCCCAGCTGCCTTCTCCCTTAGCTCATGAGACAGGCTTCCAAACATGGAGCAATCTTCCTGGCCCTTGTGTCTACTGTCCTTGGGTGTTAGTCTTATATTATGATATTTTACATTCCACAAATGAGTGCAGCCCTTCTACATCTGCCCCTCTCTTTCTGACTCATTTCACTTAGCATGATATTCTCCATGACCAACAGATGGCTGTTCTTTATCCTTTAGGGTTCTACAATTCCAATCAACCAGGCCCGACCAAACCGCAACCTCACCTTCACTAAGAAGGAACCTCTTGGGTAAGACCATCCGTCCTTCCAGAAGGCTTCTGCAAGTAGGTAAGTGGAGATCAGTAAGGATGCGTCTCTCCACTTGTGCAGCGTCTGTGCCATCATCATCCCCTGGAACTACCCACTCATGATGCTGGCCTGGAAGAGCGCCGCGTGCTTGGCTGCGGGCAACACCTTGGTGCTCAAACCAGCACAGGTAAGATGCAAGAGGCCACCGGCACGCACCTCTTTTCTTAAAAACAAGAAAGACACTGACCAAGGACATGTCTTGAAAGCAAACATGGGCGCACACACAATGCGGCTCTCTCTTCCCGACTCACAGGCATCTTCTGATTGGGAAGCAGGCTGACACACTAGCGACCCAATGCTGCCGAAGGACCACTGGTCACTGAAACCTCTGCAGCAGTGGGACAGACGCACTGTAGCACTGTAACACTGTCCTCCTGTTGTTCATCGATTTGCTCGAGCAGGCCCAGTAACGTCTCCATTGTGAGACTTGTTGTTACTGTTTTCGCAGGCTTTGCTGCGTGGGTGATACATTCCCCGTAGCTTGTTGGGCTCTCTGAGAGGGGCGAAGGAGTTGAACTTGGATCAGCTGCGTACAAGGCAAACGCCCTACCTGCTGTGCTATCTTTCAGCCCGGAACAGACACACATAGTGGGAAAAGGGGCCCAGGTGTCTTAAACTGGGCAGAAAATGACAGAAACAAGAGAGCACAGCATTTACATTTGAGCAATCAGGGAGAAGGGGCTATAAGAAGGATTCTTTTTGTTGTTGTTGTTTTAACTGAATCACCATAAGCCACAGTTACAAAACTTTTATGTTAGAGTTTCAGTCATACAATGATTTAACACCAATCCCTCCACCAGTGCACATTTTCCACCATAAATGTTCCCAGTATTCCTCCCTGCCCTGTTCCCTGCACCCCACCCCACCCCCCCGCCCCATCCCTCCCCCTGCCTCTATGGCAGACAATTTCCTTCTTACTCTCTCTACTTTTGGAAATTATGGTTTGCAATACAGATACTGAGAGGCCATCATGTTTGGTCCTTTGTCTACTTTCAGCACGCATCTCCCATCCCGAATGATCCCTCCAACCATCATTGACTTAGTGATCCCTTCTCCAATCCCAGCTGCCTTATAAGAAGGATTTTTTATAGCTATGCCATTTCTGTCGTTTTGTCATAAGTCTGAAAAAATGTCAAAAAGGAAGTCAATGAAACGCCATTGTTCTAAGAGTAGAACTGGGAATTAGCTTAACGATCAGTCTGTGGAAGGTAATTATCTTCTGCTCAGGTCACGCCCCTGACGGCTTTGAAGTTTGCAGAGCTGTCTGTGAAAGCCGGCTTCCCCAAGGGGGTCATCAATATCATCCCAGGCTCAGGTAAGGCATCAAATAACCCCCTCACTGGACCTCAGGAGTGGGACAGGAAGCCAAGTCACTGATTTCCCCCCAGGAGGCCTGTCTGGAATTTTAACTGTATTGAAACCAAACACAGTTTGCCCAACGGGGTGTGGAGAGATCTATTTACTCTGTGCTAAAATTTACCAGCAGGAATAAAGTGTTAGGGGAGATAGGGTGGAGGGTGGTGGTGAAATTGTTATAAATCTACACATAAGTGGCCAGTTTTTTTCCCAAATCTTACACTTGGAGGTGAAGTGATAGCATAGCGGGTAGGGCGTTTGCCTTGCACGAGGCCACCCGGGGCTTGATTCCCAGCATCCCATATGGTTCCCCTGAGCAACGCCAGGACTAATTCCTGAGTGCAGAACCAGGAGTAATTTCTGAGCATCAAAAATCAAAAAAAAAAAAAAGCCAAAATCTTACACTTAGCCTTTGGGTGTAGGGGACAGGCTGGTGGGAGGGGGTTTATGGGGGAGTGTTCACAACTGTTTGGGTGATAAGAGTTAGATCTTTGATAATAGTCACTGTCACTGTCCATTATAGTCACTGTCACTGTCCTCCTGTTGTTCATCCATTTGCTCGAGCAGGCCCAGTAATGTCTCCATTGTGAGACTTGTTACTGTGTTTGGCGTATCGAATACATCAGGGGGAGCTTGCCAGGCTTTGCCCAGCGGGTGAGATACTCTCGGTAGCTTTCTCAGAAGCTTGCCAGGCTCTCCAAGAGGGGCAGAGGAATCAAACTCGGGTTGGCCAGGTCGGCCACATGCAAGGCAAACACCCTATCCGCTGTGCTATCGCACCACCCCTGATAATACAGAAAATGTCGAACTCAAATTTAACTATTGCTTAGAAATCTGGGACTACTTCAGAGACAGCCTCAACAGAAGCTGAGCTCTAGGTAAGGTCTCCCTCACTGCCACTTCCTACAGGGGGTGTAGCTGGCCAGCGCCTGTCAGAGCATCCAGATATCCGCAAACTTGGCTTCACAGGATCCACCCCTGTCGGCAAACAGATCATGAAGAGGTATTGGTTTTTATTTACTTACTTGATTAATTTTGTTCCAGGTCTCTAGCATTTTTATTTAATTTCAGTATTATTATTTTTGAATCACCGTGAGATACAGCGTTACAAAGCTGTTCACGATAGAGGTATTGGTTTTAATACACCAATCTTCTATTCCCTCTCTTATCCAGGTTTTTGGGGCTTTTCGGGTGCTTATGGAGGAGGAAAAGCACATTGAATTTAGAAGAGAAATCAATGTCCCTTCACAATAGCTTTAAAACGTTTGGATGTAATAAAATATTTTTCTAAGTATTAGTCAATAACTGGAAGAATACAGAAGCTCTACACCATACTGGTGACTATGATGATCCCACACAAAACATTGGAAAATCCCTATAGTTTAGATAATAGAATTACAATAGTGGTATAGTTTATGGTTTTCATGGTCAAATTTTCAGCACCCAACAATGACTGAAGCCCTGTACCCTGTTCGTGTGTCACCTTAAATCAAATCTTCACTCCTTGATCCTTCTGCCACTGCTTAGTGATCAGTTTTGTAACCAAAGACCAGGAGTTTCTCATTGTTCTATACTGTCTATTACCTGTTTTGTCTCTGTATGCCACAGAGGCATGAGCTCATCTGGTCTTTGTCTTTCTCCCTCTTACTTTGCTAAGCCTCCAGTTACACCAAATTGCAGCAAATGGCATGATCTCATCTTTACTTAGAGTTGCATAAGTACAAGGTGTTAGGACGCAGATCGTGATCTCCCTTTAACGATAAAGAGACTCCAGAGACTGCAAACTGAAAGCAGGGTTTATTGCAAGACTGGCTAGCCAGGATCGAGCCGCCTATGCAGACACGTGGGTCCGGCAGGATGGGCAAGACCCCGAGCTTCTTCAAAGGAGATCTTATATAGGCCTTCCTCGGCCGTTACAGCAGAGCCTGCGCATTTCATAGCCAATAGATTTGTAACAACCCACACTTTCCTGACCAATACATTTGAAAGCACATCACTCCTTTGCCTATAGTTTAAAGATCAGCATTTGCGTCAGTGCTTAGGAACATCCTGGTTTTTAGGGCAGTCCTGGGTCTTGTGAGAGACATCTGGTTATCTGGTCTGACCCCTACCCTTCTCGTGACTTGCGACTTGGGGCACCAAGTATCTGAATTCCTTGCTCAGGAGCAGAAAAACCAGTTATTTTGCAATGCGGGTTCCTGTTAAGCTAAGCTAAATTAATTCTGGTGGTCCATTTTGGGCCTGTCCCTCACAAAGGGAAAGAAAATATTTTCTCTGCTAAAACAAAATATTTTCTCTACTAAATTTTTTCCTGGAATGTGTGATCATGTTCGTGGTTACGTTTTAAATAGCATTGAAAAATGTTTAAAATGGTCAGTGGAAAGAAAAATAGGGCCTAATGTTGGCTAAATTGAGTGATCCCAATGATGTTAAAGTAAAAGCTATGATAGGACGTAGATCGCAAATAAATATATCAAAATCCTAAAAACAATGGGCATTGAGCCATGGAATGGAATTTTATGTTCTGTTTTCTTCCCTTTTGCATTTGGGGTTGCTTTCCACCAAAATATTAGTGATAATACTTTTGTAAGAAAGGAAAAATAAATGATGCACTTCCAAAAAAAAGATTATTTCCCCTTCCCTACCTGGTCCTCCCCCGACCCCATCCCATTACCCCCAGGATTGATTAATCTGGTCAGCAGTTAAGTTTCTTTTTTTAACCAGTATACTTATAACCAAAAGAAAGTTACCTTTTCTATGAGGCTTTCTAAGCATCTGAATTGATAAACACAAATTTTTAGTATGGAAATGTGCTGACCCTTATTGAAGTGACCCTGTCCCCCGCCAACACCAGAATGACACCCTCCCACCGTGCACTTCCCATGCATAGTTCATCATGACCCCTGCTCCCCTACTGCTCTTTAAGTTTCTTCCTGCTTGGAGACTCAGTTATGTTTTCCATGCTAGAGGTAATTCATTCTTTTAATACGCAAGAGAAAGAGACACTAACTGCTCAATTCCTGTTCATCTTTCTCTAGCTGTGCTGTGAGCAACTTGAAGAAAGTTTCCCTTGAACTGGGTGGCAAATCCCCACTTATAATATTTCACGACTGTGAGCTTGACAAGGCCGTGCGAATGGTAAGCCTGGGTCAAACCCAGTGAGTAGGGGTCTGATCCTAAACCTGCCTCACGTTACTCAGCACAGATCTTCAAGTGATATTTGGCTTTGTCAAGTCATAACTAGAAATCACCCTATTTTTTTTGAAGTACCTAGATTTACATTACTGTTAATCATACTGCATGCTATTCATACAAACGTCATTCCAATACCAAACCTTTCAGAGAGTGTTTTATTTCCTCCACAAGTGTTCCAAGGGCCCTTCCTACGTAAGCTCAATTCTATAGACAAAATCCCTAATTCTGATGGCTTTGAAACCATTCACTCAACGCTTAGATGGGAGAATACTGAGAGCACTTAATTTTTAAAATAACAACTTTACTGTCTTTGTCGCATTAAGGTGTTTTTTAAAATTGGAAGGCATTTCTGACTTATACAGACTTATGTGGGAAGTGTTAAAGCAGAGATTGGTGGACAAGAATTACATTTAAATACATGGCATGATCTGCAATATTAGAATAATCTGTATTTTCTTATAGCGCACTATTTGCCATCAGTCTAGGTGCTTACTATTACATATATTTTTCCCCCAAAGTGCTCACGGACCCAAAGGGAACAGGAAAAAAAAATCTTTTGAAACAGGCTAGATGAGGGATTGAGGGTATAGCTCTGTGGTATAGCACATGTCCCTTGTGTCTTGAGGGATCGATCCCAGGGATGGTTCTGTAGCTAACACAAAAGGGAATAAGAACGCTAAATCAAAACTGAGTTTTGTTCGGGGATCCATCCAGAGGAGCTCAATTGACTACTCCTCACTCAGTGCTCAGGGCAGCATAGAGTGCCAGGATTCAAATTCGGGGTTCCTGTGTATTGAAATACCTAGATTTATAATACTGCAACCCAGGTATTCCAGTCCTTTGAGCTGTCTTCCCAGGCCTGGAAATAATTCTAAGCATTTTTCATTGCCCTCTAGGCCTATCCCTTCTTGAGACTGGAGGTAAGAGGCTTGCCTTGCACATGGCCTACCTGGGTTCAGTCCCCGGAACCCTGTAGGATCTCGAGTCCTGCCAGGAATGATCCCTCAGCACAGAGCCAGGAGTAAGCCCTGAGCAGCTGAGCGCTGGTTTTGGGGTATGGCCCTCAAACTAAAAACAAAAGCTATCTCTTCTTCAATGATTTTCTCTGTTTTCTGCCTCCTTTCAATAGTACCTGATCCTCAGTGTATGTGATTATTATTATTATTACTATTATTATTATTTGACAGTTGTGACTTTCCAAGTAATGTTAACGAGAGGGTTTTTCGCCCCCGCATTTGCTGCTGAAGGGCATGGGAGCAGTGTTTTTCAACAAAGGAGAGAACTGTATTGCTGCAGGACGGTTATTTGTGGAAGAATCCATCCATGATGAATTTGTGACTAGAGTGGTAAGGCATCTTCAGATTAGTTCAGTGAATTGCAGAAATATTGATTTTTCCTCGGAAGTGCTTCTGGCCTGAACAAATTTTTAGGTGTGACAATTGCACTGTGTTTGCGTGTGGATGTGTGTGTGTGTGTGTGTGTGTGTGTGTGTTGTGGCTCTGGGCATCACAGAATACAGGTTGACACAGGTTGACTGGACTCACTGAGCCAGGAGTATGCTCAGTGCATGTGGGACGTGGAGAATTTGAACTCATGGCCAGATGCTTTTGAGATTGCAAGGTGAGCACTGTAAGCCACTGCGCTATTCCTCCAAGCTATGGCCACACTTTTTTTTTTTTATTAAATCACTGTGAGATACAGTCACAAAACTTTCATGTTTGAGTTTCAGTCATACAATGATCAAGCACCCATCCCTCACCAGTGCACGTCTTCCACCACCAGTGTCCCCAGTATACACCCCCTGACTTCCCACCCCTCCCCCTGCCTCCATGGCAGACAATTTCTCTCATACCCTTTCTCTCTACTTTTGGGCATTATGGTTTGCAATACAGATATGAGAGGCCACCACGTTTGGTCCTTTGGTCCTTTATTCCCATCCCGAGTGATCCCTCCAACCATCATTGACTTAGTGATCTGTTCTCTATTCCAGCTGCCTTCTCCCCCAGCTCATGAAGCAGGTTTCCAATTATGGAACAATATTCCTGGGCCTGTCTCTATTGTCCTTGGGTGTCAGTCACATATTATGATATTTTATATTCCACAAATGAACGCGGTCCTTCTATGTCTGTCCCTCTCTTTCTAATCATTTCACTTACCATGATACTCTCCATGACCACTCACTTAAAAGCAAACTTCATGACTTCATCTTTCCTAACAGCTGCATAGTATTCCATTGTGTAGATGTACCCAATTTTCTTTAACCAGTCGTCTGTTCTCAAGCACTCGGGTTGTTTCCAGGTTCTGGCTGTTGTGAACAGTGAACGTACAGGTGCAGATGTCATTTCTACTGTGCTCTTTTGCACCCTCAGGATATAGTCCCAGAATTTATGACAGCACATTTAATAACAACATAGTCTTATCTTTTAGAATTATTTTTTGACACTCTCACAGATTAAATTATATGACATTGGAATTGCTTCAAAATAGCCCAAGAAGAAGTAAGTGGGCGTGTGTGGGGGGAGATAACTTGGTCATGGGTTGGTCATTGTTGAAACTCCGTAATGGGTACACAAAGTTTATTATATGATTAATAAGTTTATATTTTAATTTTGTATATATTTTATATTATATGTTATGATTATATATGTTTATATTTTCTATCAAATTTTTATGTGTTTATTGGTTTTAACAGTGAAAAATACAGATCCATATTTAAAAAACTGAGAGTATATATTCAGAAGCCATCATAACTGTATCTTATTATACATTTATATTATTTTTGCCACTTGGGGGAGATATACTCCTAGACTTTTGGAAGTTGCAAAATTGACACCATTAGATCCTTAAAAATCTTCAAAAGCTAATCTGACAGTATGTTATTTCCTCTGCTAACAGACAAATAGATAAAGGTAGGTAAGATGGATTGATGATAAATCCCACAGACTGAACAGAACTCTATAATGGGACTAAAGAAATATTCAGGCTAATTCAGTGGCTACAAGAAACTGCAAACAATTCTATTTTAATAGGGTGGAGGGGTGTTTGGGTCACACCTAGCAGGGTTTAAATACTAATCTAGACTCTATGCTCAGGGTCACTTACGGCAAGTACTTGGGGACCAAGCAGTATTGGAGATCAAATTTGGGCCTCCCACATGTCAAGCTGGCACTCAGCCCCACTGACTCTCTCCCCAGCCCCAAACTATTCTCTTTTATAACATTATGATGGTAATAGTAATAATGAGTTTGCTTACATTGGCAAAACCAGGGATCAGCTTTTTCTTTTTATTTATTCCTCCCCTTACCCCCTCCCCCCACACTTTACTTGAACACCGTGGTTGGCAAAGTGGTCCATGATGATTAGTTCCAGGCATTCAGTATCCCCACACCGATCCCACCACCACTGTCCCCTTCCCTCCGCCATTATCTCCATCTTCCTAACCACTCCTCAAGCCTGCCTCCATAGCAGGTCACACTGATTTATTTTATGTTGCTTGTTACCACTAAATGGCTAATGCGATAATCAAAAAACATTCCCATACAAGAAAATTTGTTAAAGTTGTTGTATCTCAACATGGGAACAACATTCAGTCCTTGTCTGGAGGGTTCACTAAGTTGTTGTTGCAATTAAGCCTTCTGTGCTAATGTTTTTGTTAGTGGAGATTGATTGGCTTCTACATCACATCCCATCTAATCTGGTTTGCTACTAACTGGGATGTCACTGTTGTAGAGTTTGGAGATGTCACTCCAGAAAATCCAAAATATTCAACTGGGCAGTTCATATGACGGTGGCTTTGGGGTGCGGGAGGGGCTGCTGGGCTTTGTTTAAGTGAGAGCTACCCCTCCCAAGATTGCCCCAGAGGTCTCAGCCAGAAATGGATATCCAATAAATTTTTATGGCCAGTTGATCTCTTTTGAGATTTATTTATGGGTCTCTGGGAAAAGGGTAGATAAGCTTCCATGGTGGTGGCAGTGGGACACGGGCCACAGCTTTTTATTTTTAAATCATTTGCCGACTTTGCTTCATCCCCAAGAAACAAAGCCCTCATGACAGTAGAAATAAGGAAGTCACAGAGAGGTTTTTGGGTGGGGGCTAGGGGTTTCTGTGTTTCTCCTAAACACCCCTTAAATTCAATGCTGTGTCTCAGTAACATACAAGCTACATGGAATTTCACAACTTCGATTTGTAAAATTGTTACAAGCTACATGTCACGGAATTTCACAACACCTTGTGGCCGTATCAAATGCCAAGCCCAGGAATGTCAGGGATGCACCATGTTGGTCCAGCAGGTGATTTGTATTCCTTCATGTCTTCTATGGCTATTTATTAAGCACTTGCTAAGGGATGATTGCAATACTCAAATTCCAGTTTGTGGCATTATCGGACCAAGGCTGTGACCATTCTTTCTAAAATTGAACCTAACATTAGGAAACACAGAAATAGATTAAGGTAACCAAGGACCAAAAAAATCATAATAATTTTATATATCAAAGCCATAAACATTAACACTATGGTGACCATGAAGAAGAGGAAGGAGGAGGAGGAGGAGGAGGAGGAGGAGGAATAGGAGGAGGAGGAGGAAGAGGAGGAGGAGGAGGAGGAGGAAGAAAGAAGAGGAAAAGAAGGAAAAAAAAGAAAGAGAAAGACTAAATGGTAATGCCATGTCAGGGTCAGAGATGAACATTAGTGGCTTCGAGGACCTGCCTTGCGAGCACATGGTCTTGAGTTCTAATCCTTAGTGTCCCATAGATGCCAAATAATCATGAAGCTGCTGAGGATCCCTGGTGCTTCCCCACATAAAGGGCATATCCCCCAGCAAACACTGCAACTGTAAAAGATGTGTGAATGGTAGGGCTAGCACATGTGACCCCTGATAAGCATACATATGAGCACCACAGCGCCCCCTCAAGCCCAACTATTAATGTGTGTGCCTCACAATGCTGTTTCCACGAGCTAGTGGGCAAATACCACAACTAAGTGCAAACCTTGGGAGATCATGGCTGAGTGTGAGAGCACCCGCAAGCAGTGCAGTTAAAAACAAACGCGAGCGCAGCAACAGTTAGGCGACGGGATCAACCTCGGCATCCAACAGCAGGGGAATGGAATATGAAGATGCGATACATATGCACAATGGAAGACTATGCGGCTGCAAGGAACGATGACCTCATGCAATTGGCTGCAACCTGGATGGGAGGGAAGGAGAAGTTTAGTGAAGTTTAATGAAGTAAGCCGGAGAGGGGCAAATACAGTTGATCTCACTGATTTCTGACATATAGAATAACAGGATGAGGGAATGCAAAATATCAAGGCGTGGTTGTGGAGATTGGTGTTGGAATATTATATGCCTTAAAGTCAGCATAAAATTTTGGCATATTCGGGGCTGGAGTGATAGCACAGCATGTAGGGCGTTTGCCTTGCATGCGGCCGACCCGGATTCGATTCCCACCATCCCATATGGTCCCCTGAGCACCGCCAGGAGTAATTCCTGAGTGCATGGGCCAGGAGTAACCCCTGTGCATTGCTGGGTGTGACCCAAAAAGCAAAATAAATAAAAACTCTAACTTAAAAAAATTTTGCATATTAGCACAAAATGTGAATAACTTTGTAAATCATGGTACCTTAAGAAAAAAAATAACTGAAATAGAAAAAAAAAACTGTGCATGTCCCAGGCATGTTTGTGACATGTTACAGCAATGATGCAGGGTAGGGAGAGGGGATGATTTAAAAGCAAACATATCTACAGTGGGTAGGGCATTTGCCTTGTATGTGGCTGACCCGGGTTTGAGTCCCAGCATCCCATATGGTCCCCCGACCATCGCCAGGAGTAACCACTGTGCATCGCCGGGTATGACCCAAAAAGAAAAAAAGCAAACTTATCTGGGGCCAGAGCAATAGTCCAGTGGGTAGGGTGCTTGCCTTGTGGGTGGGCATCCTAGGTTTGATCCCCAGCACCACATGTGATCCTCCAAGCCAGGCGGATGACTCCCCCACCAAGAGTCATCTCTGGGCACAGAGCCAGGAGTAAGCCCTGAGCAGAGCCAGGTATGGCCCCAAGCCAAAAAAATAGATAAAAATAGGAACAGATATCAGTGATGAAGAGTATGAAGTTAAAAAAGTGTTTCTCATCTGAATATTCTAGCAGTTACTCTGGTGTGACTGTGCCATGAAAATTTCACAAGGACTCCCTGACACAGTTGGAGAGAGAAAACAGGTCGCATGTGGCTGTGTCAGAAATTATTTAGCCTTGAAGAGTATGCTGTATTGAGATAAATTATAAATAAACATAAATTATAAATAAGCATATGTTGTAATAATGAAAATTCCAGAACATTAGCTTTGCTTTATTTTTTAACTGTGTGAGCATTCAAGATAAGTTTAATAACTGAATTAATGCATGTTCTGTCAAACTCAGTGGTTCAAAAGGGGCTTCCAGAGCTAGAGAGGTAATACAGAGGTTAAGACATTTGCTTTGCACCCAGTGGACCCTGGTTTGATCCCCAGCACTGCTCAGGCCCCCTGAACCCTGCCGGGTATGATCCCTGAGCATTCCCAAGCATGGCCCCCAAACAAACAAAAATAGTAATGGAAATGTTCAGAACAGCAACTATAATAACTGGAGCTTTTAAAACAGGAAAATGCTACAGAGATTAGCAGTTGTGTGTCCCTGGGCAAGTCACCTGGCCTCAGCACCTTCATCTGTAGGGGAGAAATAATAAATTTGGTGTCAGCCTAGCCTGAAGAATAAATGATAATATAGCCTTGAACATAATGGCTTTCCCCACCTGGTCCATAGGCATGAAAGTGTTGAAAATCCCTGCTTTGGGACTGGAGAGAGTATTGTGGGTAAGGCGCTTGACTTGCATGCGGCCAACTGGGGTTCCATCCTTGGTACCGTGAGCACCACCAGGCGTGATCCCTGAATACAGAGCCAGGAATGAGCCCTGGATGCAGTCAGGAGCCAGGAATGATCCCTGAATGTAGAGGCAGGACTAGTCCCTGCATGCAGAGAGCCAGGAGTAAGCCCTGAATGCAAGCCAGGAATAAACTCTGCATGCAGAACAAGAAGTGAACCCTCCATGCAGAACCAGGGGAGTGAGACTTACATGCAGAGCCAGGAGTGAGCCCTGAATGCAGAGCCAGGAGTGAGCCCTATACACTGCTGGGTGTGTCCCAAAAGCAAAAAGGAAAAGAAAAAAAGAAAAGAAAGCAAGAAAATCACGGCATGTAGAGCTTCGTACAGTCACTGCCTGTGTCACCAGCTCTGTTGTGTGTGTTCATTGTTGCTAACAGCCCATTGTATTTTGTGAACTGGGTGATATGCAGGTGGAAGAAATTAAAAAGATGAAAATTGGTGATCCGCTTGACAGATCCACTGATCACGGACCCCAGAATCACAAGGCCCACCTGGAAAAGCTTCTGCACTACTGTGAGGCTGGAGTGAAGGAAGGTGCCACTTTGGTGTACGGAGGAAGGCAGGTCCGGAGGCCAGGTAGGTGCATCAGCACGGGAGGTACCCAGGGCATCCGGCCCCTGGGTTGTAGGGATGCCACCATTTCCACTGCAGAATCAGTGGTGACATCCATGTTATGAATAGAAAAGAATTGATCTGTAGGTCCTCCAGCCGCTGAGCAATAGCTGCCTCTTGGGCGTGATGGTCTTTGATTGCCTTTTTCATCTCTATGAAGGGGATGGGATGGACGTGTCCTTCTCACAGGGCTGGGAGATCAAAGGTGGGCGGTAAATCAGGGTGGAGGTTGACTATGCCCTGCAGGCACAGGGGATGTTGACTGTGGCACTGTGAGGCTCTCTCTGGGCCAACGGAGAGATCAGCTTCCATTTCTAGAGCAGGGCCTGGGACTGAGACAGGTGGATATCCCTGTGGCCTGGGAACCAGAGACACACAACTGCCAAAGCTCATTTTTTCACCCTTGGAGGAGTATCGTGCCCCAACACTGTACAAGTGCTGGAGCGATAGCACAGTGGGCAGGGCGTTTGCCTTGCAGGCAGCTGACCCTGGTTCGATTCCTCCGCCCTTCTCAGAAAGCCTGGCAAGCTACCGAGAGTATCCCACCTGCACAGCAAAGCCTGGCAAGTTTCTTATGACATGTTCAATATGCCAAAAACAGTAACAACAAGTCTCACAATGGAGATGTTACTGGTGCCCACTCGAGCAAATTGATGAACAACGGGAGGACAGTGGCTAGAACACTTGAATTTCTGGGTCATCAGATTTCTCATAAAGGAATTCTTCCCTTCTATTTCCCCGAGCCCCCAGAATCTCTGCTAACCAGTCAAAGAACAATTATAGGATTTTTTAAGAAGTCATCATTTGGGGAGCTGGGGAGATAATACAGCAGGTGCTTGCCTTGCACGGGGCCAACCAAGATTCATTCCCCAGCACACACAGAGTCCCTGTCAGGAGGGATCCTTGAGGGCAGAGCCCTGAGCACCGCTGAGTGTGTGGCCCCCAAACAAAACAAAACAAATTCATCGTTTTATACTCCCAAAAGGATTGGAGTAATTGACTCAAACAAAGACTATCAAGAAGGTGAAAGTTACTTGGTGCAGGATGAAAGGGGTCCCTTGGTATCTGCTAGGCACCACCCCCATGCCTGCAGGCCAGCCATGAAAGCATCCAGCTTTACAATGGAGAGGTCAGCTTGTTATTCTCTGGCTAGTCAATCCTAGCATCTGTGGGATTTGGGGGTGGGGTGGGTAGCACATCCAGTAATGCTTGGTGCTTATTCCTGGCTCTGCACTCAGAGATCACTCCCAGTGGGCTTGGGAGATCATACAGAGTGCTGGGGATGGAACCTGGGTGGGCCACATGGAAGGCCTATGCAGCACTTTCTGCTGTACTATCTTCCTGACCCCCTAGCAGTTGTGGAAAGCAGGGAAGCTGGATCTGATGCATCCATAGGAGATTTGGGTCAGCACCCACCAGTCCCTCTGGGATGTTCTTACCAAAAATGTTTGCGCTCAATCTACTCATGGCTTTCAGTCACATTTTGCCATCTGAGAAAATGCTGGAGAAATACAGGATATGAAATATCATGAAATAACATCCCAGGAAGTAAAAAGTAAAGTAAAGGCCCTCCCGTTGATCATCGATTTGCTCGAGCGAGTGGGCCCAGTAACGTCTCCATTGGAGACTTTGTTGTTACTGTGTTTGGCATATCGAATACATCACTAGTAGCTTGCCAGGCTCTGCTGTGCGGGCGAGATACTCTCGGTAGCTTGCCGGGCTCTCCGAGAGGGGCAGAGGAATCGAACTTGGGTCGGCCATGTTGGCTGCGTGCAAGGCAAACGCCCTACCGCTGTGCTATCGCTCCAGATGACATCCATGTTATGAATAGAAAAGAATTGATCTCTAGATCCTCCAGCCACTTAGCAGTGGCTGCCAATTTAAGCCTGATGGTCCTTGATTGCCCTTTTCATCTCTATGAAGGGGATGGGCTGGACGTGTCCTTCTCATAGGGCTGGGAGATCAAAGGTGGACGGTAAATCAGGGTGGAGGTTGACCATGCCCTGCAGGCACAAGGGATGTTGACTGGTGCTGTGAGGCTCTCTCTGGGCCAGCGGAGAGACTGACTTCCATTTCTAGAGCAGGAGCCTGGGACTGAGACAGGTGGATATCCCAGTGGCCTGGGAACCAGAGACACACAACTGCCAAAGCTCATTTTTTCACCCTTGGAGGAGTATCGTGCCCCAACGCTGTACAAGTGCTAGAGGGATAGCACAGCGGTAGGGAGTTTGCCTTGCATGCAGCCAACATCCCAGGAAAGCGATGGCAAATAGAAAGTGCAGGGAGATATTTAATATTTAAACCAGGGGATGATCAAAGGGCTGGAGTGCGTGCATGCAGGCTGGGTTCTCTCTCATGGTCTCCTGAGCTCTGCTGGGAGAGACCCCCAAGCACTGAGCCAGGAGTAGCCTCTGAGCACCACTGGGTGTGGCCTCAAGAAAAATCATAATAAAACGTTTTTAATAAGATAAAATGTTAAGCTATTCTTACAGGATGACTTGCTCTCTGTGTTTATTTATTTATTTATTGAATTTGGGGGCCACACCCAGTTCTGTGCTCAGGGGTTGCTCCTGACAGTGCTCAAGTACCATTGGAACCCCGAAAAGAATCAGGATTGAGGGCCTGCAAGGCAAGTCTTTTAAGTCCTATATTATCCCTCCAGTTCCTGACTCAAGAAAAAGTGGAGGGGGTGGAGGGTGTCACACCTGGTGGTGCTCAGGGCTTACTTCTGGTTCTGCATTCAGGGACCACTCCTGCAGTGTTCAGGGGACCCTATGTGGTAGAGGGGATTGAACCTGGTTGGACATGTGCAAGGCAAATGCCCTGCCAGCTGTACTAGCACTCTGGTTCCTGACTCAGTATGTTTAATAAGTTAATGGGGTGAAAATGAAGAGGCATCGGTAAGGACAAATGTGCCAATTAATAGACGCTAAAGACCCAATTATCAGAACTGGGGGGATATGATGCTTTGTATATGGGAGTCCTAGTTTTGGCTTTCCAAGCACCATCAGGGATGCTCCCAATAACAATAATAATAATTTATTTGAATTTAGAATCAAGTCAATTAATTATTAAGAGATACTTTCAGATAGTTTGAAACAGATGATAAATATTGACTCACTTTATTGTGCAACCTGTAACTAAACAATGTGATTTTTTTTAAAAACCAAATGTTTCCATTTAGTTTAAAAATACTAAAAGTTAAAAAAAACTAATACCAACTATGAATATGGAATTAGCATCAGTTTTGTTAGGTGTGATGTGCTATGTGAGATATTTATCCTTATTTTTTATGCATGTGTGCTGAAATACTTGAAGGTGAATTTGTGAATTCTGTGGAATTTACAATATACTAAGCACAAATATTGATTTTGCTCTTCATATATTATTTTCTCTACTTTTCCATTTATTTGGTATTTTTGTATGAAAGCTATTTTAAAAACGAGAACTGAGTCCTGCTAGTTCTAAAGAGGAAAACTGAAGCATTGTTTTATTGGTCCAGAAGAGAAGCAGTTAACGTATCACTGTCACTGTCACTGTCCTCCCGTTGATCATCGATTTTCTCGAGTGGGCCCAGTAATGTCTCCATTGTGACACTTGTTTTTGGCATATCAAATACGTCACAGGTAGCTTGCCAGGCTTTGCTGTGCAGACGAGATACTTTCGGTAGTTTGCCAGGCTCTCCAAGAGGGGTGGAGGAATTGAACTTGGGTCGGTCATCTTGGCTATGTGCAAGGCAAATGCCCTACCCGCTGTGCTATCACTCCAGCCCAGTTAACATGGAACGAAATTAAATGAGAGAAGAAATATCATTGAAAATTACTCTATAGGAGCCAGAGAGATAGTACAGTGGGTGGGTATTTGCCCTTTACATGGCCGACCCAGGTTCGATTCCTGGCATTCCATATGATTCCCCCAAGCACCGCCAGTAGTAATTCATGAATGCAGAGCCAAGAATAACCCCTGAGCATCACCAGGTGTGGCCCCAAAACCAAAATAATAATAATAACAATAAAGTCCTCTACAATTGCTGCTTTTTCCTTCTTATTCCCCTCTAGGCTTCTTTATGGAACCCACCGTCTTCACAGATGTGGAGGACCACATGCATCTTGCCAAAGAGGAATCCTTCGGGCCTATTATGATCATTTCTAAATTCCCAAATGGGTATGTTCCTTGTGCTCAGTTGAACAGATTCTAACTAGATCAAGTTCTTTTCCTTCTACTATTGCACTATATACATAGCATGTAGCACTGTAGCACTGTCTTCCCATTGTTCATTGATTTGCTAGAGCAGGCACCAGTAACGTCTCCATTGTGAGACTTGTTGTTACTGTTTTTGGCCTATCGAATACGCCACGGGGAGCTTGCCAGGCTCTGCTGTGTGGGCGGGATACTCTCGGTAACTTGCTGGGCTCTCCGAGAGGGCTGAGAAGATCGTTGATACAATCTCTCTCTTCTTAATTTTATGGAGATATGTTTTGCGGCTCAGCATATGGTCTATCTTGGAGAATGTTCCATGCACACTGGAGAAGAATGCGTGTTCAGCTTTTTGAGGATGAAGTGACCAAGAAATGTGTAATCTTCTACCATAAGAATAACTGACTTGCATAGGCTTTCCATGTATGAGACCCTGTGTTTGTTCCCCAATGGCAAAAAAAGAAAAAGAAATTAAGGCCCCAGAGAGATCGCACAGTGGGTAAAGGATTACCTTGTGCACAGACAATGTGGGTATGATCCCCAGAATTCTATATGACTTCTGAGTCCCCACCAGGAATGATCCCTGAGTGCAGAGCTAGGAGTAAGACCTGAGTACTACCAGGTATTGCCCCCACCCTAATAAAGGAAAGAGTAAGAGAAAATGATAACCAGATATATAATTTTTGTTTGTTTGTTTGTTTGTTTTCTTTGTGGGTCACACCCAACGATGCTCAGGGATTACTCCTGGCTCTGCACTCAGGAATTACTCCTGGCAGTGCTCAGGGGGCCATATGGGATGCTGGGATTCGACCCGGGTCGGCCGCATGCAAGGCAAATGCCCTACCCGCTGTGCTATCGCTCCAGCCCACCAGCTATATAATTTTGCTTCTTATTCTAACAGATAATCATTATAAGTCTGAGTTAATGGTTAACATTCTAGGATTTACAGGATCAGTTTTCAGCTTGATTTTGTCTCTATTGGAGTATTGGGTTTGGGGGCCAGGAGTGCTCAGGGCATACTCCTAGCTTTATGCTTAGGGGTCACTCTTAACGATGCTCAGAAAACCATCTACAGTGCCAAGAATTGAGTCAGGGTGGGTCACGTGCAAGGCGAGCACCCTAACCCCCATACTAAATCTCCAGCCCAAACTTTAGGTTTTGAACATTCGACATTAGAAACGACTCTGGAACAAGGGGAAGAACAAAACTCATTTTAATATTCAGAGTTTGTAGGAAGGATGCGACTGTGAAACTCAATTTTCTTCAGGAAAGATTGCTTCTGTTATAGGAGATTACGCCCTCCTCCAACACTCAATATTGGACTTTTTATAGAAATAATGTGGACGACATGGAGGCTATAAATTTTTATAATCACCATATAGAAATGATATATTGGCATATACGGACTTATTATAATATTATAATTTATTACTGTTAATTATATACTGGCTTTTTATAGTATGTAAAACGTTATGTGTTTAGCAAAGAGGAACAGATGGTAACTGAGCTCATCGAAGAATATTTATTACAATAGACTCCCCTGGTATGATGTGCAAAATTCTTCAGAATGCCAACTTTAATTTTCTTGAGAAAGTAGAAAGTGGCAGGGACTGGAGAGATGATTCAGTGGATAAGGCACCTCCCTCACACACAGCTGACCCAAATTCACTCCCCAGCATCCCACATAGTCCCCTATGCACCTCCCGTTGATCATCGATTTGCTCGAGCGGGCCCAGTAACGTCTCCATTGGAGACTTTGTTGTTACTGTGTCTGGCATATCGAATACGTCATGGGGAGCTTGCCAGGCTCTGCTGTGCGGGTGAGATCCTCTCGGTAGCTTGCTGGGTTCTTCAAGAGGGGTGGAGGAATCGAACTCGGGTCGGCCATGTTGGCTGCGTGCAAGGCAAACGCCCTACCCGCTGTGCTATTGCCTTGCACGCAGACAACATGGCCAACCCCTATGCACCATCAGGAATAATTCCTGAGTTCAGAGTCAGCAGTAACCTGTGAGCACTGCTGGGTGTGCCACCCCACTCCAAACAAATAGAAAGTGGCTGATATCAGAATAGAGGAGAGTTCAGGTCTTCTTGGCTTCTTGGATAGACACATTGTAAGCATCTTTGGCTGGAGAGAAGGTACCACGCTGTTATTTTGTCACAACATTGGAGAATACCCTGCTTTGCTCTGGCCTTACAGAAGTCACAGTTCCTGTGACCCAGGTGCCCCTCATCAAGATGGGGCCAGACAAGGAGATGAGCAGCTCATACAGAGGACTGAGGCAGGAGGGTGCAAGGGGGCAGAGGCTGATTTCTGGGTGTGGTCAGCCAGCCAGCTAGGGCCAGGGCCTCACTCACTCTGCCCTTCTTGTAAAATTGGTTTGTTCATCATACCTGCCCTTTTTTGGGGGGGGGGTTACACCCAGTGATGCATAGGGGTTACTCCTGACTCTGCACTCAGGAATCACTCCTGGTGGTGCTCAGGGGACCACATGGGATGCTGGGAATTGAACCCGGGTCAGACACATGCAAGGCAAACACTCTACCCGCTGTGCTATTGCTCCAGCCCCAATACCTGCCTTTTTTTTATGTGGTCATTCTGAGGATGAAAAAAGTCCAAGCATCTGCCGCTGGGACCATTATTGCATCGTTAGCTTGTTGTCACATGCACTGTGAAGCCGCGAATGTGGCTGCCCCTGGAAGCACTGACAAGGAGCCCATCTTGGCCAGCCCATCAGCCTCCACAGCCCCAGTCTGTGCAGAGTTTCAAGAAGCCGGAGTTTTAGCAGACACCCCCATCCGCTCCCCACCCCAGCCACCTGCGCCCACCAACCTCCAGCCCACAATAGTGGAGCTTCAAGCCTCCCTGGGAAGATTCTTCAGGGTGACCCAACTCTGAAACCTGAGCTGCCTCTCCGCTCACTCAGCACCAAGAGCCTCCCCTTCCATTTTGGAGTAGAGCTCTCAGTGCGAGAACACTCGAGGCAGTCCTTAGCGTGTATTTCCTGGCCATGGTGTAGAAAATGTATGTCCTACATGTCTACATGGCACATGCCAAGGGGAGAGACTTGCTTGACATGAGCATTGGAACTGGCCCCCTCAGAGAGATGACTGAGCTTGTGTGCCTGGCATACAGACCCATGGGGTCGGTCCAAAGCCTGCCCACCCAATGCACGGGATTCCCTCACTCGACTTTTTTTAGCACTGTAGCTCTGTCCTCCTGTTGTTCATCGATTTTGTCGAGCGGGCCCAGTAACGTCTCCATCCTGAGACTTGTTGTTACTGGTTTTGGCATATCAAATATGTCACAGGTAGCTTGCCAGGCTTTGCCGTGCGGGAGAGATACTCTTGGTTGCTTGCTGAGCTCTCTGACAGGGGTGGAGGAATCAAACTTGGGTCGGCCGAGTGGGCCACGTGCAAGGCAAACGCCCTACCCGACCCACTGTGCTATACTCTCTCTCCAGCTGCTACAGCCTCAGGGTATGAGGCACTATCCCTGGAACCAGGACATAGGATACTGTTTAGGGGACAGGTAGGCATGCTCCTGACCTGGGTTTGATCCCTGGCTCCTTATGGTCCCCAGAGCCTAATCAGGGAGTTCCCAACACTGCAGACCCCAGGCAGCGTCAGATCTTCTGGCCGTTGCGTTGAGCCAATGGCCTGGTTGGCTGAGAATTACGGGTAGGGCCCCCCCAGACCTCCTGAGCATCACTGGGGAGGTCTCCCCGCCCCCACAAAGAAAAATATTCCTACCCTTCATCCCCTCCCCATAATCTCTAGTCTAGTTGAGAGGGGAAAGGCAAACGTACAACACACTGAACTGGAGAACAATGTGCCGGATTTATAGAGGACTTCTTTTTTTTTCTTTTGGGGTCACACCCAGTGATGCACAGGGGTTTCTCCTGGTCCATGCACTCAGAAATCACTCTTGGCAGTGCTTGGGGGACCATATGGGATGCTGGGAATTGAACTTGGGTCGGCCACCTGCAAGGCAAACGCCCTACCCGCTGTGTTATTGCTCCATCCCCATATAGAGGACCTGTTGAGCTTTACTGGCCCCATGTTCCAGGAACACTTAATTCATTTCATCCTCTCAACAGTAGGATTATTTTCATTGCATCTTTTATTAGCATTTGCTTGTGTGTGTGTGTGTGTGTGTGTGTGTGGTGTGTGTGTGTGTGTGTGTGTGTGAGAGAGAGAGAGAGAGAGAGAGAGAGAGAGAGAGAGAGAGACCCAGCGATGTTCAGGGGTTACTCCTACTCCTGGCTCTGAATTTAGGAATTATTTCTGCCTCGGGGGACCATATGAGATGCTGGGGATTGAACCCTGGTGGTCTGTTGCCAGGCAAACGCCCTACCCACTGTACTATCTCCCCAGCCCTAGTTTTTCCATTTTTAGCAGGATAAACAAAGGTGGAAAGGAAGGGGGAATGAGGGCATTCACCCCAAGTCACCCACACGATCTGGCTGTGAGCCCCATTCTCAAGAGGGCAAAGCACTGAGCAAGCTTCAACTGTGAAAGTGTACCTACTAAGTGGGCCAAGTGGGGTGCTCTTAGACTGTACCTAAAATAGGGGCACAGGGAAAGGGGGGCAGTGGGGGAGTCTTTAAAGAGAACTAATGAATAAGGTTTAAAATAAAAAAAAAAAAGAATAAGATTAGATTTGTTTTAAGGTGTTGCAGGCTGGGGAGGTAGTCCAGGCATTTGGATGCATGCCTTGCACACAGCCAACCCTGGTTCAATCCCCGTCATTGCATGTAGTTCCCCAGGCACCACCAGGAGTGATGCCTCAGCACAGAGCCAGGAGTCAGCTCTAAACACTGCAGAGTGTGGCTCAAATCACAAAACCAATGGCAAAAACAACAACAAAAGCACTGTCACTGACACTATCACTGTCCCTGTCCTCCCGTTGTTTATCGATTTGCTCGAGCGGGCCCAGTAATGTCTTCATTGTGAGACTTGTTGTTACTGTGTCTGGCATATCGAATACGTCCCAGGGAGCTTGCCAGGCTTTGCTGTGCGGGTGAGATACTCTCGGTAGCTTGCTGGGCTCTCCAAGAGGGGCGAAGAAATCGAACTTGGGTTGGCCGTGTCAGCCATGTGCAAGGTAAACACCCTACCTGCTGTGCTATTGCTCCAGCCTAACATAGTGTAGCGGTTATGATGTCTGCTTTACATGCAGAAGGTTCTGGGTTCGAGCCCCAGTGGAACTATGCGGTGGTAACAAAATGCAAAAAATGTTGCATGCTGTGTTTGGAAAATAGAATACTAGAGTTGTTAATGTTGAATTAGGTCTTTGGGTGTAGGCCTGCAGTATTTCATTTGTAAAAAATGTAAGTATAGGGGCTGGAGCAATAGCACAGTGGGTAGGGCATTTGCCTTGCACACAGCCGACCCAGGTTCGATTCCCAGCATCCCATATGGTCCCCTGAGCATCGCCAGGTGTGACCCTAAAAGCAGAAAAAAAAATGTAAGCATATCAGCAGGAATGCTTCTCTGTTTCTAGCATGGAGGGCAACAAATAGGGCATGACACAAACGCGCTTGCTTTGTCTTGATGGTATGTGACATCTTCCTAAAAACACCTTGCAGGGACATTGATGGTGTGTTGCAGCGAGCGAACAATACAGAGTACGGCCTGGCGTCCGGGGTTTTCACCCGGGACATAAATAAAGCGCTGTATGTGAGTGAGAAACTGGATGCAGGAACAGTGTTTATTAACACCTACAACAAGACGGACGTGGCGGCCCCTTTTGGTGGAGTGAAGCAATCTGGCTTTGGCAAAGACCTAGGTAGGTGGGCTTGGTGGGATGGGTGCTGCTAGCTGCTTCTCAGGCAGGGAAGCTGCCCCATGTTGTTTCCAAAAACCTGACTTTAGCACGGCTGGATCTGCATCCTCTAAGATGTCGTAAGGCTGAACATTCTTAGTGATTATAACAAGAAGGAAGGAAGGAAGGAAGGAAGGAAGGAAGGAAGGAAGGAAGGAAGGGAGGGAGGGTGAAAGGGAGGGAGAAGGAAGAAAAGAGAGGGGAGGGGAGGAGGGGGAAGAAGGAAGAAAGGGGGAGAGCAGGGGGAAGGGAGAAGGCAGGGAGGACAGAAGGAAGCAAAGAAGGACTCTCAGGCCAGTGCTCTACATAAAGGAAGCAGACTCCAGTTTCTTCTAATCTTCAGGTGATTCAAGTGATTTCAGAAGTTTGGGACGCACTGCCCTGGGCCACCTTCCCTTAACTGAGCCCTGTGACAGTCTTGCATGGTCTGGGACAGCGGCCTCCACGTCCTCTGTGAACATGGCCGTCACCTGCTTCTCTCTTCCCCAGGGGAGGAAGCGCTCAACGAATACCTCAAGACCAAGACGGTGACGCTGGAGTACTAGAGCGAGGCACTCCCCAGAGACACTCGGGTTCAGCACCTCGCCCCACCTCTCAGGGGGTACCGCAGCCTCCAGCCCAGACAAATGTTCTTGGACCTGGATGAGGCCACACGTGGGTGCACTGCCATCGTGCCGGGTACTTCTAAGGCCCCCTTCCACCGTGGAATCATTTGTTCTTGTTGACTCTGTTATGTACCACCCATGGATTTAAAAAAAATTTTTTTTTAATTGAATCACTGACTGGAGCAATAGCACAGCAGGTAGGGTATTTGCCTTGCACTCGGCCGACATGGCCAACCAGGGTTCTGATTCCTCCACCCCTCTCAAAGAGCCCAGCAAGCTACCGAGAGTATCTCGCCCGCAGGGCAGAGCCTGGCAAGCGTATTCGATATGCAAAACACAGTAACACAAAGTCTCACAATGGAGACGTTACTTGGCCCACTAGAGTAAAATTGATGGACAATGGGAGGACGGTGCTACAGTGCTACACTGTGAGATACACAGTTACAAAGTTGTTCGTGATTGGGTGTCAGTCATACAACACTCAACACCCATCCCTTCACCAGTGCACATTTCCTACCACCAGTATTCCTAGTTTCCCTCCTGCCACCCCCATGCCCATCCTCGATTTTGAAACTGCTAAGCTGCTTCCTGTTTTCAGCCTCAGAATGGTTATTTGTCTTGAAATGACCACTTGGGCCTTTCTGCGGGGGCAGAGGACATGTCCCTTGTGACAGGCCTCGGGGACAATACCTGGCAACACCTCTGTGCCAGGGTTCTCCTGACAGCACAGCCACCCATTGTGTAGGGCCCTGGGGATCACAAGAACCAACGGGGGGAGGAGGGTTATTTTTCTTTGTTTGTTTTTGGGTCACACTCGGTGATGCACAGGGTTTACTCCTGACTCTGCACTCAGGTATTACTCCTGGCGGTGCTCAAGGGACCATATGGGATGCTGGGAATTGAACCCAGGTTGACTGCTTGCGAGGCAAATGCCCTACGCACTGTGCTATCGCTCTAGCCCCCAAGATTGTTTTTTTTTAAAAAAAAAAAAACCTTGTCTATAATTTTGCTCTCGAGGGACAGTTCATCCCCTAATGAATGTGAGGGAAATTTCTTTTTCCCTCCTGTTTGGAAATAAGATACATCTATATGCCTTTGGTGTTCTGTTTTCCAGCCCACTGTGAAGGGTGACCATCCTAAAAGCGCTTCTTGAGTAAATACTGCGTCCGAAGCGTGATGCTGTATTCTGAGATATAGACCAACTGCAATGATGTGCCCTTGATATCCAAGGGCTTAGATGCTGGGAAATAGTTCCTAGTGGGAACATGGGAGTCTGAGACAGAGCCATGCATGGGGCTGTCCTGTAAGAGACTGTGAAGGCAGTGGAAAGCAAACTGCCTTAGAGGCTGATCCAGGTCATCCCCTCCAGGTCTGTGAATTTGAAAAAGTTGTGCAACTTCTCTCAACCTCTGTTGCCTTTCCCATGAAAGAGGGGGGTGGGGCACCTTCCTTATGCGAGGGGCCTTCTTTTTTTTTTTTTTTTTTTACAATTTGTATATATTTTGGGGCTGGCATGTTAGTGCAGCAGGTAGTGCATTTACCTTGCACGCGGCTGACCTGGGTTCAATTCCCAGCATCCCATATGGTTTCCTGAGCACCACCAGGAGTAATTCCTGAGTGCAGAGCCTGGAGTAACCCCTTGTGCATCGGCCAGGTGTGACCCAAAAAGGGGAAAAAAAAAAAACACATTAGAGTATCTCGCCCGCACGGCAGAGCCTGGCAAGCTCCCTGTGACGTATTCGATATGCCAGACACAGTAACAACAAAATCTCCAATGGAGACGTTACTGGGCCCGCTCGAGCAAATCGATGAACAGCGGGAGGGCCTTTACCTTTACCTTACCTATTTTCATAAAGTAGTTCACAATAGTTCATTGCAGATAATATTCAAACACTAATCCCACCACCGAGCACCTTCCCACCACAATAAGAGGGAAGTGTGTGAAGGTTGTTGTGTTTCATTCTGGAGCCATTTAAGCCCGTATATAAGAGAATACAAGCAAGTATGTTAAAACCAAACAAATGTGTGCTACTTTTGGTACTTAAATAGGCTAGAGTATAAGAGGAAATTATATATTATAACAGGAAATTCTGCGGCGCTCTCTTCTGGGAGCTTTAGTTTATAGTCTCTGGGTCTTGTCTGTTGAGAGTACATGGTGCCGGGGGCAGTTTGTGGGTGTGACTGCCAAGCTACTGGAAAACTGGGGGTCTGGGGAGGAGGAGGCCCAGTCCTGATCTGAGTGGGCTTGGGAATCTCAGTCATGGGTCCCGCATACCTGGGTTTTTTTGCTGGTTCTCACTTGGGTGAGGCTCATCCGAGCATGTGAACGGTGGCCAGCCGCCAAGGCCTTCTGTTGAGGCTCTTCAGTGCAACCTTGGAAGCCCCTTAGACTGTGCCTGGTTCCCTTGGGCTGCCACGTGAATGGTTTCCCCATCCCTCTTTGAAACCGATAGTGAGAGTCTTGAACCTGATGAATCCATTCATCTTCCCACGGCACTTTCTGTCACCGTCAACTCCAGTTCTCTTTCTCTCGTATCCTGTATTGGCATGGCACCTGGAGCAGCAGCACTGGGAGGCTCCAGGGGATGATGGCACGGCAAGGGGTGCTGGCCTTCTGCGGTCACTCCTCCTGCACGGGACACCTCATCATCGAGCTTTCCCACTCCACCCCCTGCCCTGATTCTGCCACTTGCTGGCTGTATGATGCCCAATATCTCAGGTGACAGCTAAAAGGTGGGACTAAAATCCCACCTCGTTTTCCAGTGGGTTAAAACACATGCCACCTTTCAGGAAGTCTACAGTCTGCACTCAGGGAATGGAAACTGTTGGTCCCTGGAAGGTGCACAGAATTGCACCTTGTCAAGACAAAAATAGTAGAGCTGGAGAGACAGCATGGTGCTTAAGGCACTTGTCTTGCGTGTGGTTTGAATCATTGTATGGTCCTCAAGCACTGCTTGGGCTGGAGCGATAGTACAGCGGTAGGGCATTTGCCTTGCATGCAGCCGACATGGCTGACCCGAGTTCGATTCCTTCGCCCCTCTCGGAGAGCCCAGCAAGTTACCGAGAGTATCTCGCCCGCATGGCAAAGCCTGGCAAGCTACTTGTAACATATTCGATATGCCAAACACAGTAACAATGAGTCTCACAATGGAGACATCACTGGGCCCGCTCAAGCAACGGGAGGACAGTGACAGTGACAGTGACAAGCACTTTTGGGAATGCTTAAAGATCATAATCACAGAGCCAGGAATCACCCTCCCCTCAAAAAATACTTAACTGATAAATTATCACCATCCAACTGGAAGTTGAGTCCCTAAATCATGAAAGTCTCTAGAAGATGGTTAGATCAATTCAATGGTTAATTTAAAAAAAAAAAAAGAAGTACTATTGTTACATAATTTAGGTAATAAGTTTACAACCGGGTTAACATTTATGCTTTAATCCTTTAAACTATAGCTTCAGTCTAACACATTTCCGATTGCTTTGACTTTGAAGAACTCTGGGGTCAGGAATGTGACTCAGCAGTGGAGTACTTGCCTTGCATGTGTTGGCTGTGATCCCAGGACCTCAAAAACTAAAAAGCAAACAACCACCAAATCAAAGGCAAGACACAATGAAAGGGAAGCATGGAAGCGGGCCTCATCCTGGGGTGATGGGGTGAAGAAGTTAGGCCTGCCAGCATTTTTTAAATTTAGTTGTAGCTCATTTTCCATCAGAGCTTGGTGCAGCTGAAATTCTAAATTGAAATGTACGATTTTGGGATCCAAAGTGACAGTTCATACCTGGATAAAATGGCAAAGGCCTCATTTGGAAAGAAATCACCTTTTAGTACAATGTTTTCACATGTTCTGTGTGATTTAAGAGCTCCCATTACTAAAGATTGATGCTAGATAAATTGGCAAACAAATGTGCCTATGCTGAAAAGCTTTCACCCTGTAATGGTAAGCTCAGGGCCCATGGTTTTTTTTTTTTTATCTTCTCTGGGCTACAGACCTTTACTGAGAATATCTGTTCAAATCTATGGATCCTATTGGGGCTGAAGAGATCATTCAGTGGGTAGGGTGCTTGCCAGGCATGTGGTCAACTCGAATTTGATCCCCGATATCCCACACAGTCCCCCAAAGTACCACCAGGCACTCCTTCAGAGTGCAGAGCCAGGAGGAATTCCTAGTATAGCCAGGTGTGGTCCCCAAACAAAAATAAACCATTAAAAAAAAAAACTATGGATCCCAGCACCATGCCCACCCATACACACATATTTTCATCTCCCAAGTTCAGATACACACACATATGCTGGAAATCGCTCTGAGATGCACAGATGCACAGACCTGCTAAGGGCCCAGCTTCTGCCCTAGAGAGAGAATTCCCTTTTCCTGTAGCAAGTTCTAACATACTTAACTGGCTTGAGTTTTTATATCTGACTGCTGCTAGGAATCAAAGGCTCCGTGAAATTGAAAATTACCAGTGAATTTGAAGTGGAACATAATGACCCACAACCGAGTAAGTGATTAAATTATCACGCTGAGTAATTACATTATCACCGCCACTGACAATCCCAGTTTTTTGCTAAACTTAAGCTGTGATCAGACCAATAGCAGAGTGAGGTGTGGCTGCTGTAAATATTCCTGTTTTCATTTCTTTTCTGCTCTCCTTGCCATGTTTGGGGGTTCACACCCAGTGGTGCTCAGCTAGTGTGTGTGTGTGTGTGTGTGTGTGTGTGTGTGTGTGTGTGTATGTGTGTGTGTAAGTGCAGGCATGTGAACAGTTCTGGGGATTGAACCCAAGGTCTCACAGATGCAAGGCATGTGTCCTACCAGAGCTGCATTCTGGCCCCAGTTCTTTTTTTTTTTCCTTAAATTTTTATTAGTGAAACACCATAAGGTATAGTTGTAGACTTACAAATTTTTGTGCTTGGCTTTCAGTTATACAATGATCATCCCCACCAGTGCCCATTCTCCACTACCACT